CTCTATCTCATTCTCTCTCAAATAAATGAATAAAATCTTAAAAAAAAAAAAATGGGACATTGGCCAACATTTTGGCCATTGTCATCATGCAAAGACCTGTGATCTATGAAAGGAGACCTGACTTCCCTGGGAGTGAGGACAGGAGGGCACAACCGTGGAGGGGACAACTTCAGGAAATTCTGGTGCCACCTTCTGACAGTGTCTGGTAATGTTTTGGGCACTGTCTTATATATTGGTACACTAAAGTTGTGAAAAATAGGGTGACTCTTCCTAAAATTCTTCTCCTTTGATAAGATATCTAGTTGGTCAGGAACTATATCTAGCTTAAGTTCTGTATTTTTACCCATTCTCTTTTCTAGCTTGTAAGTCCTGGCGGTGGGCACAGGGTGAGCACCCAAGAGAACCCAGAAACTGGTTATTTGATTGGTTTGCTTTGGATGGTTGGGGTTTATGGCACAAGGAAGAAAGTAGGATTCTCAGGGGATTGACTGTTGCTGAAATGGCCCATAGGAATACCATGACAGGATGGTCCCTAAGTCAACTGAGTATATTGTGGCATAAAGTTATGTATTACTAGTTTTGCTTTCACCCTTGTGTCCTGTTCTTATTCCAGTGCTCCATGAGGAAGGGGGTATAATTAAGCAAGTGTTCACAGCCACCCTCAACAGCTTGTGAGTGATTAAGACTCTTCCCTCAAAGAGTTGCACTGGAGTATGAATTATTACAGTCCTTGGGAAAGCAGTCTTGTTTTAACTGTTAAAATTTTAAATATATACTCTTCAGCCCACTAATGTCACTCCTGAGACTCTATCCCATACAACTGAAAATAAATACAGATTGAAATGTATGCAAGGGGGCGCCTGGGTGGCTCAGTTGGTTAAGCGACTGTCTTCGGCTCAGGTCATGATCCTGGAGTCCTGGGATCGAGTCCCACATTGGGCTCCCTGCTAAGCAGGGAGTCTGCTTCTCCCTCTGACCCTCCCCCCTCTCATGCTCTCTCTATCTCATTCTCTCTCTCAAATAAATAAATAAAATTTTTAAAAAATGTATGCAAGGATGTTTACTGTAGCATTTTCACAGTGGTCTAAAAAAAAAAAATCAGAAACTACCCATCAGTGGGCAAATTGTAAACTAACTTATGGCACATCTACACCATGAAATACTATGCAGCCATTAATTAAAGAATGAATCTGAGTTTTCTGCTTGACTTGGGAGAGGAGGTTTCTACCAGATATTGAGCGGGAAAAGCAAAAAATAGATAAGTATGAATAATACATACTTTTAAATAAAGCAAACAACTGTACAATTATTAGCACAAAGAACAGTGAGGAAAGATACATATAGGTTTAACATGGTTATATGTGTGTGCACATATGTCTGTTGGGGGAGGACAACAGTAAGGCAGATAATGTAGGGGAAGCAGGCACCACTAAAAACTTGAATTTTATGACAAGCAATTTACGTAAAGTTGTATATGTGCATGTGTGTATATATATGAATTAAGAAATCAGAAAAAGGTATAAATCTTTATCTGTTGACCAGAAAGGATGTCCATTATATATTGATAAGTGATAAAAGCAAATTGCAGAGTTGGTTTTATTTTGTTAAACACAAACCCACAAAAATTAGCCTATATATGTGAGTACATGTGTACATGATTCTGAGCAAGGATTTCTACACCTGGGTGTTAACATAGGGACCTCAACTGAGATGTGAAAGGTTAAGATGGAGGATGGAGGGAAACTCCATGCTTTAAAAATATACGTCTTTGTATTTTATGTGTTGCAGTGGACATTTGTCTATAATGTATCAATTATCTATTGCCACATAATAAACTACCCCCCAAAACTTGATGGGCTTAAAAAAAAACAAACCTTTCCTTGACAGACGGCTGAAGGAAGAGGGGGATTGTGGATTGTGCCTTCCAGTGTGAGGAATCATTAGTTGCTTAATATTTATAAGGCAGTTTATAGCTTTCAGAACACTCTTGTAATGTTTCATTATTCTCACCTTTTTGAATTTTAATTTCTACCTATGCATCTGTCTCTATCACTAGTCCACAAGTTTCTTGAGTGCTGTGACCAGGTCTCATTTATCATGATAATATCAATGTTTAGTATTGTTCCTGGAACATGGAAGATGCTAATAAAGAACTGAATAATGAATTAAAAAAAAAACTTTATTTAGTTCATGAGTCTGGGTTGGCAATTTAGGCTGGGAACAGCCAGGTGGTTCTTCTGGTCTTGCCTGAGCTCACTCAGTAGGGCAGCTGCCTGTTGGCTGGCCTTGACTGAGGCAACTGGACATCCTGCAGCAGGCCAGCCCAGGTGTGTATGTTGTCATGGTGATGTGCAAGAGAAGGGGCCAGCCCAAACACATGACCAATGCTTCATGTTTGCTGATATATTGGGGTACTACAGGGAAACAGAATCAATAAGATATATATATTATATATGTCAATAAAGTGATCTATTATAAGGAATTGACTCACATGATTATGGAAGCTGAAAAGTCTAGCGAGGAGAGCCAGTGGTATTTGAGTCTAAGTCTAAGAGCAAAAGACTGATGTCCCAGCTCAAAGACAGTGAGGCAGAGAGAAAGAATTCTTTCTTACTCAACCTTGTATTCTTCTATTCAGGCCTTCAACAGATTGGATGAGGCCACCCATATTGGGGACGGACACCTACTGTACTCAGTATACCAATTCAAATGTTAACCTCATCCAAAAACATCTCCACAGGGGTGCCTGGGTGGCTCAGTTGGTTGAGCATCCAACCCTTGGTTTCTGCTCAGGTCGTGGTCTTGGGGTCGTGGGATGGAGCCCTGCATTGGGTTCCATGCTGGGCATGGAGTTGGCTGGAGATTCTTTCCCTCTCCCTCTCTCCCTGCCCCTCCCCCTGCTCATGCTCGCACTCTCTGTCTCTCTCTAAAATAAATAAAGTCTTGAAAAACACACACACCTTCACAGACATACCCAGAAATAATGTTTAAATATCCTTTTTTATGTGTCAGGTTGACACATAAAATTAACCATCACACCCTCCAGTCCACTTGCACAAAGCCAGTCACATAGCCAAACCCAGAGACAGGGTAAAAGGGCAATGAAAAGTTAGGAGACTATCTTGGTCCATTCAAGCTGCTGTAACAGAATACCACAGCCTGGTTGACTTCAACAACAAGCATTTCTTTCTCTCAGTTCTGGAGGCTAGGTAGTCCAAGATCAAGGTGATGGCAGATCTGGTATCTGGTGAGAGCTCTCTTCCTAGTTTGCAGACAACTATATTCTTGCTGAATCCTCACATGGCCAAGTATCTCTTCCATGAGTGCACTAATCCAATTCATGAGGGCTCCACCCCCACGATCTATCCAAAGACCTCCATCTTAATACCATTACATTGGAGTTAGGATTTCAAAACAGGACTCGTGAGGTGGGACAAAAACATGCAGTCTGTAACAAAGGGGGCATTGGTAGGGGAGGGTAAAGAATGGGGGTCGCTTTCACATCATACCATTTGTAGTATAAAAGTATTGAAGAAAGAGGACTTTTTCCCTCCATTTACCTAAGAATGGTCACTTACCTGGTAGCATGTGGAATTCAGCAAAATTAATTATATCCAGGTTCTTAACATATTTTAGTTAATATCACATAAAGCAAAATATTGCTTTGGCGGTTTGCAAAGTTTGGCATATATACTTAAGATTTGCTTGGTTCCAGAAGGTGGGGGGTCAGGGGTAACGGAGCAGCCATTACAGCCCCAGCTCATTGTTGGTACTTCCCAAAATCATAGATAATAGAGTTTCCCAGAAGCTCTGCAGAATTCCAGAGGGAGAATGACAGCAGGCCAGGGTTGAGGAGTGCCTGCTAGGTGGCATTCTTTTCAGGCCAACTGGGGGTAAGGAGGCAGTGAGGGGATCCTTTGTCCAGCAGGGACATGGTATATTCAATTTAGGGAATGTTTGTTAGGAAAAAAATATTGAGGGGAATGAAAAGATTATGAAAATGGTCTTCTTGATTTTCTTCTTAGAATACCCAAATAATTTGGGATGATGGGATCTAGTTTTGTGTGATCTTGCTCCATGTTTCCCATACTTGATGAGACTGATAATAATTGATAGGCTGCATGACTATCTAAGTGAAGAGGAGCAAACACAATAGAAAGTTAGAGGCATCCATAGGACACCGTACTACATCTAGAAAAGAGAGCCACTGTGGGCTCCCTGCCCACTCATTTGGTAGCTAAGAATTTTGCAATAGACTGGAGATTACAGTGGGAGAATGCTTGGGTACATGATTGATTGTCTTCATTTTAGTTCCTTGTTAGTGGAGCAAGGTATTAATGGGTCAAGGTAACAAGGATGACCTTTTGTTGTTACACAGAAACCTTTCTCATTCAGCACAAGAAACACAACTTTCTCCTCCTGGGAGTGTGGAACATGATGTCCATGAAAGGTGCCAGTGCTCAGTGGCTTCTCACTAAGAACAGATTCTCCAGCAAGCTTGATGATGGCAAAATTGAGCCTCACACATGCAATGCTTTTTAAATAAAAGAACCCTGAGATTTTGTGAGAGCACATCCTCTATATTTCCTGCCAGCCACTTACCAATATTTGGTCAGTCTTATTTGGAGACCTAGGAAACTTATTCAGCTGAGCCACAGAACCATATAAGAAGTGTCCAAACCTGGCCTGGCAGACGATTAGTTATGCCTGCAACAGCTCCTTCCCATTTCTTGCTGAGAGAATGGAGATTTGTTTATGGAAACAATATGCCCATCCCCAGGGGATGAATTATGACTGGACTAGGCTCTCCTATCACTCCTTACTCCTTTGGCGAGCTGCCCATTGTCCCAGGCTTCTTCACGGCCATCTGACCATGTGACCCAGCTCTGCCCAAGGAGATACCAGGAGATGCTGGCTAGAGGGCTTGGAAAGATAATTCCTACAGAATAAAAGATCAGAGCTTATGAAAAGAAAGCCTTTGGTTCTTTCTTCCTGTTTAGGAGTTGGCATGCAAGCTGGAGCTGCAGCAGCGATTCTGCAACCACAAGGCAATAAGTGTGAGTAATGCATCACACAGAGGACTGGGGAAGGATCACCTTGAGTCCTTGGTGATATCTCAGAGCCACTGCCTCCAGGCTTATTCCTAGGTAAGATAATTAAAAGTCTTCACTGCCTAAGTCACTGGTAGTCAGATACTCTGTTACTTGCAAATGAAAGTATTCCTAACTGATAAACCTGGCCTCCTTCTGCCTGGCCAGAGTAGGTTCTGCTGACAGTTCCACCACAGTAGCTTTGCAACCAGGGATTAAAAGGCCATCTTTACCTCATGTAGTTTCTGATTCAGAAGATCAGAATGTGGTCTGTGATAGAGCTTAAAGTCCAGAAATGTGATGCCACCAGCTTTGCTTTTCTTTCTCAACATTCCTCTGGCTATTCGGCATCTTTTCTTGTTTGATACAAATTTTAGGGTTATTTGTTCCATTTGTGAAAAAAGTTGATGGTATTTTGATAGGGATTGCATTGAATGTGTAGATTGCTCTAGGTAGCATAGACATTTTCACAGTATTTGTTCTTCCAATCCATGAGCATGGAATGTTTTTCCATTTTCCATTTCTTTGTGTCTTCCTCAATTTCTTTCATGAGTATTCTATAGTTTTCTGAGTACAGATTCTTTGCCTCTTTAGTTAGATTTATTCCTAGGTATCTTATGGTTTTGGGTGCAATGTAAAGGGGATCGACTCCTTAAATTCTCGTTCTTCTGTCTCCTTGTTGGTGTATAGAAATGCCACTGATTTCTGTGCATTGATTTTATATCCTGCCACTTTGCTGAATTCCTGTATGAGTTCTAGCAGTTTTGGGGTGGAGTCTTTGGGGTTTTCCACATAAAGTATCATATCATCTGCAAAGAGTGAGAGTTTGACTTCTTCTTTGCCCATTCGGATGCCTTTTATTTCTTTTTGTTGTCTGATTGCTGAGGCTAGGACTTCTAGTACTATGTTGAACAGCAGTGGTGAGAGTAGACATCCCTGCTGCGTTCCTGACCTTAGGGGGAAAGCTCTCAGTTTTTTCCCATTGAGAATGATATTTGCTGTGGATTTTTCATAGATGGCTTTTATGATATTGAGGTATGTACCCTCTTTCCCTATACTGTGAAGAGTTTTAATCAGGAAAGGATGGTGTACTTGTCAAATGCTTTTTCTGCATCTATTGAGAGGATCATATGATTCTTGTCCTTTCTTTTATTAATGTAGTGTATCACATTGATTGATTTGCAGATGTTGAACCAACTTGCAGCCCAGGAATAAATCCCACTTGGTCGTGGTGAATAATCCTTTTAATGTACTGTTGGATCCTGTTGGCTAGTATTTTGGTGAGAATTTTTGCATCCATGTTCATCAGGGATATTGGTTTGTAATTCTCCTTTTTGGTGGGGTCTTTGGTTTTGGGATCAAAGTAATGCTGGCCTCATAAAAAGAGTTTGGGAGTTTTCCTTCCATTTCTATTTTTTGGAACACTTTCAGAAGAATAGGTTCCTTGTTAATGAGTGTTTGGTAGAATTCCCCTGAGAATCCATCTGGCCCTGGGCTCTTGTTTGTTGGGAGATTTTTGATTACTGCTTCAATTTCCATACTGGTTATGGGTCTGTTCAGGTTTTCCATTTCTTCCTGGTTCCGTTTTGGTAGTTTAAGCATGTCTAGGAATGCATCCATTTCTTCCAGATTGTCTAATTTGCTGGCATATACTTGCTCATAATATGTTCTTATAATTGTAGTTCTTTGGTGTTGGTTGTGATCTCTCCTCTTTCATTCATGATTTTATTTATTTGGGTCATTTCTCTTTTCTTTTTGATAAGTCTGGCCAGGGGTTTATCAATCTTACTAATTTTTTCAAAAAACCAGCTCCTAGTTTCGTTCATCTGTTCTACTGTTCTTTTGGTTTCTATTTCATTGATTTCTGCTCTGATCTTTATTATTTCTCTTCTCCTGCTGAGTTTAGGCTTTATTTACTGTTTTTTCTCTAGCTCCTTTAGGTGTAGGGTTAGGTTGTGTATTTGAGACCTTTCTTGTTTCTTGAGAAAGGCTTGTATTGCTATGTATTTTCCTCTTAGGACCACCTTGCTATATCCCAAAGATTTTGAACGCTTGTGTTTTCATTTTCATTTGTTTCCATGAATTTTTTTAATTCTTCTTTAATTTCCTAGTTGATCCATTCAGTTTTTAGTAGGATGCTCTTTAGCTTCCATGTATTTGAGTTCTTTCCAACTTTCCTCTTGTGATTGAGTTCTAGTTTCAAAGCATTGTGGTCCAAAAATATGCAGGGAATAATCCCAGTCTTTTCGTACCAGTTGAGACCTGATTTGTGACCCATGATGTGATCTGTTCTGGAGAATGTTCCATGGGCACTAGAGAAGAATGTGTATTCTGTTGCTTTGGGATGGAATGTTCTGAATATATCTGTGAAGTCAAAGATGTAATCATCAAGAGAGTATGGTGCTGGCATAAAAACAGACACATAGCTCAATGGAACAGAATAGAGTACTCAGAAATGGACCCTCAACTCTGTGGTCAACTAATCTTCGACAAAGCATTAAAGAATGTCCAATGGGAAAAAGAGAGTCTCTTCAACAAATGGTGTTGGGAAAACTGGACAGCCACATGCAGAAGAATGAAACTGGACCATTTCCTTACACCACACACAAAAATAGACTCAAAATAGATGAAAGACCTAAATGTGAGACAGGAATCCATCAAAATCCTTGAGAAGGACACAGGCAGCAACCTCTTTGACCTCAGCCGAAGCAACTTCTTCCTAGACACATAGCCAAAGGCAAGGGAAGCAAGGGCAAAAATGAACTCTTGGGACTTCATCAAGATAAAAAGCTTTTGCAAAGCAAAGTAAATAGTCAACAAAACCAAAAGACAGCCGACAGAATGGGAGAAGATATTTGCAAATGACATATCAGATAAAGGGCTAGTATCCAAAAGCTATAAAGAGCTTATCTAACTCAACACCCAAAGAACAAATAATCCAATCAAGAAATGGGCAGAAGACATGAACAGACATTTCTGCAAAGAAGACACCCAGTGGCCGATAGATGAATGAAAAAGTGCTCAACATCACTCAGCATCCGGGAAATCCAAATCAAAACCTCAATGAAATGCCACCTCACACCAGTCAGAATGGCTAAAATTAACAAGTCAGGAAATGACAGATGTTGGTGGGGATGCAGAGAAAGGGGAACCCTCCTACACTGTTGGTGGGAATGCAAGCTGGTGCAGCCACTCTGGAAAACAGTATGGAGGTTCCTCCAAAAGTTGAAAATAGAGCTACCATACAACTCAGCAATTGCACTACTGGGTATTTATCCCAAAGATACAAATGTAGTAATCCTAAGGGGTACCTGCACCCCAGTGTTTATAGCAGCAATGTCCACAGTAGCCAAACTATGGAAAGAGCCTAGATGTCCATCAACAGATGAATGGATAAGAAGATGTGATGTATATATATACAATGGAATATTATGTAGCCATCAAAAAATGAAATCTTGCCATTTGCAACGACATGGATGGAACTAGAGGGTATTATGCTAAGCGAAATAAAATAAATCAGAGAAAGACAATTATATGATCTCACTGATATGTGGAATTTTAGAAGCAAGACAGAGGATCATAGGGGAAGGGTGGGAAAAATGAAACAAGGGGTATGTGCTATGGTGAGCGCTGTGTATTGTGTAAGACTGATGAATCACAGACCTGTACCCCTAAAACAAATAATACATTACATGTTATTTTTTTAAAAAAGGAAAAAATGTGGCCTGTGGTTCAGCAAACCAGTATCCCCTGGGAATTTGTTCAAAATATGAATCTCAGGCCCCCACCCCAAACATACTAAGTTAGAAAGCTTGTGGTTGGGGCCAGTAGTTTTCCAGGTGATTTTGATGCGATGGAAAGTTTGAGAACCATTGATATAATAGTCAAATGGAGTGGTTGCATGTCAGACACCTGGGGAACTTAAAGAAAGATTCTCAAACTCCACCTACAGAGTTCTGATTCAGCAGTTCTGCAGTATAGCCTAAGAATTTATATGTCCCCAAAGGCCTCCAGGTGATTCTGAGTAAACCAGGCTTGGAAACCAATGGGATGTGTATGCCAAGGGGCCATTACACAAGTAAGGGTTGAGGAACAGACCTGGGCGCCTCTGGGGACAGGTGAACTGTATTACGGACTTTTTCACCTGGCAAGTGAGGGAACTGACAACTTGATCTTAGAAATCTTTTTCAGGGGCTCCTGGGTGGCTCAGTCGTTAAGCGTCTGCCTGTGGCTAAGGTCATGATCCCAAGGTCCTGGGATTGAGCCCCGCATCGGGCTCCCTGCTCAGCAGGAAGCCTGCTTTTCCCTCTCCCACTCCCCCTGCTTGTGTTCCTTCTCTCGCTATGTCTCTCTCTGTCAAATAAATAAATAAAATCTTTAAAAAAAAAAAAAAAGGAAAGAAATCTTTTTCGGCTTTAAAATTCCTAGGATGCCAGCCTGAATTTTGCAGATCGGGCTGGAACAAGCAAATGATATTGGTAATTACAAAGGCTAATGAGCAACAAGTGGATTTTACTAAAGTCAAAAAAAGCAGCCTCACTACCCACCATAGCCAGACCCTGTAAATCCAAAACAGGTTTTCTCTTCTGCTTTTACTAGGTTTATGAGACAGCAGGTTTGCACTTCAAATGTTCATTTATAGAGTGCTAGACTACACCTGATTCGTGCTAGGCTTGTGCTTTGGGGTTATTTTATTTGGAGAATATTGTTTTTAAATAACATCTTCAGGGAGCTTGCTTTCTAAAATGTGCTGCTTGTTAAGGATCAAAACCACTGACTAAAGCAGCCTACTCACTGTCCGTCCAAATATGATTTACCCTGTCTCCTACCTCATCTTTGCCTTCTACTGGAGATGCCAATTGTTTCTTACCCAGTCCCATATCTCCTTTTCAGGAAACTACCATCCCGCTTACAGGGAGTCTGCTCCTTCACTCAACTCCTGCTGGATGAATTTAAATCCATGATGCTGTGGAAAGTTAAAAAAAAAAAATACCTCATTGATCGAGTTTGGAAGATAACAAGATACCAATTAACTAACTTTTGAAAATCAGTAAATAAAAAGAAAAGTTGAGCATTTATCCTTTTCTATGTGAACTGTATTTTAGGCTAATCAAATAGTTGATGAGGAGGAGTTTGTCTTCATACAAGCTGATAAATGGAAAAGGCATGATAAAATCATAGTATCCCCCTTTTGCAAATCCTAATGAATTTATGGATCTAGGAAGTGATCACCAAGGGCTGTTAATATCACAAAAATAAGAACAAGAAGACATAAATCTCCTGATGAAAGTCACAACACTGCCTCTATAGCCTTGCTCACTTGGGAATACAGCCTGTTAAAACACCACGCTGGAAGCGGGCATTGCTCCCATGGTCTCCTGTTTGTGCGTACCCTGAGCCTGACTTCACTGAGGCTTATAAAGGAAAGATTGAGACTGACTATGTCTCTATTATGGAATGGAGACCCATATAAAGCTTAGTGTACAATTAATACCCAATTCCAAATACTGTAAGGGAGAGTTCCGATTCTAATGTTTAGAACCTTCTTACTAAGGTATACCAAGGTAAAGGGGAAACCCTCAGCAGGGTATGGTTACCAAAAAACCTATCCAAATTCTCCCTGCTCTTGTCCCTTGCTTTTTCTGCCCCACGTACAGCTGGTGTGGAAACGGTGGCCTCGTATATTAAAGCCCTTCTAATTTTAGAAAGTTCTCCATTTCTCTTCTAGTTGCTTTAAGACTTTCCCAAGATTTCCTCAAGTACCTTTAACTTCAGCTGTCATTTCTTAATTACACAGAACTTCAGGGAGCTTCCCCAGTTTGCAGATTTACCATCCATCTCCCAATACTTCTCACCCTGGGAGTGTCTGTGCCTTTTACATGATGTCACAACTCTTTTGTCTCTGGTTCAAGTGTTTCTGCTTGCTGAGCTTTGGGATTGGGAGAGGGGGTTTCTCTCATGGTGATGTCTTGCAGGAAAGACAGTTTGCAACAGAATGCAGTCTCCACAAGGATTGCCCCTTGGAGCAATCTCCCTTGTAACATGAACAAAATCACCCAGAACCCAGCTCTCTGTCTTTGTGTTCTTTCTGCCAGATTGTTACTGTCTCTTAGAAGACTTCCAGGTGGTCCCATGGCACTGGTTTATAGAAAAGTATATTCTGTTTACCTAGTCCAAATTTTAGGAGGAAATCTTACACTCAGCAATCCAAATGCTTTGGAATGTGCTCAGATTCAACAGACAGTGCAATTTAAATTTATAAAATAATATTTGTGATAATAAAAGCCAGCACTACACGCCAGGCACTATTCTAAGTGTTTTCACATGCATTAACTCATTTAGTTAGTTCTCTTATCATTCTTAAATAAGACTTTTTATTTTATTTTATTTTATTTTATTTTAAGATTTTATTTATTTATTTGACAGAGAGAGACATAGCGAGAGAGGGAACACAAGCAGGGGGAGTGGGAGAGGGAGAAGCAGGCTTCCTGCCGAGCAGGTAGCCCGATGTGGGGCTCGATCCCAGGAACCTGGGACCATGACCTGAGCTGAAGGCAGACGCTTAATGGCTGAGCCACCCAGGCGCCCCAGTTCTATTATCATTCTTATCTTATAGGTGGAGAAACTAGGGACAAAGGGGTTAAGTAAGGTGACAGCGCTAATAAGTGGGAGGCAGGCTCTGACCCCAGGCAGTCTGGCTCCAGGATGTGCTGCCTCTCTCATTGTGGGAAAACACCTGAGAATTTTGAGATTCCTAAAGCTGGAGTATAAATTACCCTGATTTGCTTAGGCATGCTGGAAAAGTGGAAAGAACTATAAACGAAAAGTCAGAAAACCCGGGGTCCAGTCTGGCTTTCTCTGTCATCTATGTGTGACACAGAAAATTCATCTTGTCACTCTGGACATATTTATTCATCTCTAAAAAGGAGAGTAATTACATTGGGTAATTGTAAGAATCTGTTCAACACATACTTTGTTCAAACATAACTTTGAAGAAAAGTGCTGTTTTATCAAAGAAAGTTCTAAGGACTTCCATTTTTAGATGAGTTTAGGAGGACTTTGGTTTGACATCTGTTTGACAGTGTAATAAATTCCTACCATTCAATTTGTTTTCAAGGTACCATTTTGTATGTCTTGTAAGAACTCACACTTAGAAATGCTGACGGCAGGCTTCAAGACGGCTGAGCCCCAGGAGACACTAAGAAAACCCATGGCTCTGGTTGCATCTTTCAACATGACCAATCCACAGTAAGTAACACCGGGATCTCCTCTCTGTGATTGCTGAGTTGGTACCTCAGAATCGTGGGTGCAACCAACAGCTCCTTCCTCAGCCCTGTGAAGGTGGAGGAGCTCCAGACGATTTTGTCCTTGAGCCTGACATTAAAATGATATGTTAAAATCTGCTCTTTCTCTGAGTTGCCCCACTAATGTCATCTCATTTTTTGGTTTAAAAAAGCAGAGAAATTCTGCAGTCCACAACTGTTGTACACCTTCCATAAGACAGGGATCTTCTGATTCCAAGCAACCACTGTACACACTTCCGTTAGCTGGATGTCATGGAAAATGGGGAAAACTTCAAAAGCAAACCTCAAGACAAGATTAGGATGTGCTTAAGGTGAATTAACAAAATGGGAATTGCAAGTAAATTTAGAAATCATGAGAGGGTTTCTAAAAGTAGGCTTTATGAAACCAAGGGCAGAAGTGCTTTCAGTTCCCCGAACCTAAGATGCCATGTAAACCACCACTTCATCTTACCAAACACCAGAGAGTGGTCACTTATTTTGTGTTTTGCAACTCACTGGCAAAAATACCACGATGAGAACAGCATTCTTTCTGTCACCCCATACTGCCCCAGCCTGCCTAGCTCTGGGGCTGGCTGCTGCCATCTGGAGCAGGAACCCGTTATCTCTTGCCCACAGTAATGCTGTGTAACAAACAACCGTGGTACCCGAGCAGAATACAGCATCAGTATCTATTCCTCCATGTGTGGGGTAGCCAGCTAGATACCTGCTCATCTGGAATCACTCTTAGATATGGGGCTTGGCTTGCTGTCAGCTGATTTCGGTGAAACTGGATTCTGCTCAGTGTGTCCCTTATCCTCCCATAGGCTAGGCTGGTCACCTTCCAATGGCAATATCGGAGGTACAAGAGAAATTGAAGCTCCTTTTCACGCCTCTGCCTGTGTCACGTCTGCTAACATCCCCTTGACCAAAACAAATCATAAAACTGAGCCCAGAATCAAGGCAGGAGAATCATACTCTTCCTTCTGATGGGAGGAGCTCTGCAGGGTCCCATGGTAAAAGGAGAGGGTGAAGAATGGGGCCATTAATACCCATCGTCCATCATAGTGTTCTTCATATCTGAGACCAGAGGCTAGTCTCAACACCCAGGCTATGAACTGTGGGACCTTCACTCCCACCAAGGGAGGCCTTGTTTCCTCCTGCTGAGATGACCGCAGACCAGAGATGGTGCTGGGCTGCTATGACCACTGGCAGGGGGGGAAACAGAGAGCAAGAAAGTCAGGAAGGCAGAAGAAGCCTGTCCCCTGCTGCTCAAAGCCACATCCTGTTAGTCTCAGAAATTCACTCCAGCCCTCTGAACATCCCACGGATCAGAAAGTTCTCTGTGTGCAGTTAAGCCACCCGTAGCTTCTGTGAGTAGCCCAGAAGAAAAGAGAACAAATTCAACCCAGCATTGACTTTTTTGGAAACACCTGGAGGAGCCAGGATTCCCCACTAAACACCCACACTTTTATTTCAATTGTTGAGAAACACAGAAGCCTCACATCCTATGACTGTTCTGTCTGAAGATCTTGAGTCATTTTGTAAATGTCACACAATGATGAGTACTATTATCTGTGCTTGACAGGTAGCAAAAAGCAAAGGTTTAAATAAGGCCTACCAAAGAGAATCAGGGCACTGGAAATTACTTGGTGAATCCAGGTCGTTTAGGCTCCCAACTGGTGGCATTCAAATAAAAATCCCTCTTTTTCCTCAATTATCTGCATGATTCAAGCAAGAGAGCAGTGGGCAGATTCGGCTCTGACATTCCTGGATAACTGCCGCTGTGTGTGGCTGGTTAGCTTTCAGTGATGGTTGGAAAAGGAAAGTTTGGAACTTAGGTGGAGGGACTTGTCCCTGCAGAGCTCCTCCCCCATGCTCCATGTCTCTTCTCCATATCAGATGCTAGGGTGAGAATGAGCCCTTAAGGAGCCTCTGTTTCACCTCCTTGTGTTTCAGCTGGAGAAACTGAGGCTCCAGAGAAGCCCCAGGGAGGTCAGCCTTGGAGTCGACACAGAGCCCAAGAACAGCTGCCAAGACTGACTGCCACCCCAGTAGTAAAACCAGCCTCTCAGTGTTCCCTCAGACATTTAATTTCCACTCCTCTCCATTCACACCATCTTTCTTTCTGACCTTCATTGTTTGGCCAGAAGCATAAGACCCAACCCCTCAGGTTCTACAGGTTAAGAGAGGGTCAGGGATGTGTTGGGGGGACCAAAGACGGCACCCCAGGAAGGTAGAGCAAAGTGATCTAGCCCAGCATCTCTCCACAGGGTCCCTGTTGGTGTTGGGACAGGACACTTTTTCGTTGTCAGCCACGCCGCAGGATGTGTAATACCCCCCTCCCACTTCTGTCAGTAGTGACCGAATTGCCATATCCACCAGGAGTTTGGGAGGTGATACTGCCTGGAGCTCAGAAGCCTTGTATTGCCGGAGTAGTTGTCAGGTATTCGCAGTGCCCTGCGTAAGCCCACCAGTGACGTAAGAGACTGACAGCTCCACAGAAGTTTGATCAAGTGGCCTCCTTCTCCTACTCTCAGCCTTAAGAGGGGAGATGGAGTAGGACCAGTTTAAGTGGGAAGGGAGTGGCAGCCAGGGACAGCTGGCCCCTGCTGTCCTCACCGTCCAAGGCCCAGGTGGTCTCCCCAGGTCAGTTCCCCAACCACCAGCAGTACATCCAGTCACAAACAGAAACCTCTCTTCTCTGTTGTGGTACAGATGGTAGAAACATTTTAAAGGACCTTTACAGAGAAACCCAGGAAACAGTTTAAAAGAGTATATTACTCCGGGGCGCCTGGGTGGCTCAGTCAGTTAAGCGTCTGGCTCTTGGGTTTTGGCCCAGGTCATGATCTCGGTCCTGGGATCGAGCCAGGTGTCGGACTCCCTGCTCAGTGGGGAGCCTGCTTCTCCCTGTCCCTCTGCCCCTCCCTGCCACCCCCTCCCCCTGTTTGTGCTCTCCCTCTCTCTGTCAAATAAATAAATAAATCTTTAAAAAAAAAAAAATATATATATATATATATATATATTACTCCAATATAAAGTCTAGGACCAAAAATCCTAAAGATCTAAGCCCAGGTTTTTCTGGTGGGCAGAATTTCCATCTGGGTCTTTAGCCCCCTTGATAAAGATCCTACCTCCATAGCTCCTATTTTCAAATCTGAGCAATTCCTCCTTCCCTTCTTCCATTGTTCCCCAACTGGTAGAGGACACAGGGGCTTCAGTCCAGTCCCTTGGATGGCCAGCGTGGAGGATTGGTGACCTCAAGCTTCCCCTGCTCGCCACCAGCACACCATAGATTCTGATGCATTCTTCTTCCTTCCCTCGGGGAGTAGAAAAATTACTTTGTTCTTGAGGGTTGACTGCCCTGTTGCCCTTCTCCCCAACTCAGGCCTGCCATAGAAGGAGGAATTTCTGAAGTTGAGATCATCTCCCAACAAGTAGATGAAGAAACCAAGAGCATTGCTCCCGTGCAGCTGGTGAACTTTGCCTATCGTGACCTGCCCCTGGCTGCGGTCGACCTCTCCACGGCGGGTTCGCAACTCCTGTCAAATCTGGACGAAGATTACCAAAGAGAAGGGTAGGTGCCAGGACTGGTGAGTAGCTAAGAAGGCTTTCGCATAATCCCCCGAGTTTCCATGGGTACCTCCAATGAGGCAGCACAGGGGTTAGAGACCAGAAGTTCACATTGGCCACCCAAGCTCTTTTTCTCCTCAGACATTGCTTCCTCAGAAAAATGCTTCGGGCACAGAAATATCTGTCGCTGCTAGATAACCTTTTATGTGACATTTGCTTGGAACGCAGAGATTCATAAAATTGTTTCAGGACTGAATTACTCCTTAATGGCCCATCCAACCTCCTCTCTGTACACTTGGGAATCAGGAGACCCACAGGGATTAGGAGCTGGCCCAAGGTCACAGAGACCATAGGGGGTGGACTTGGACTGCACTGCCCATTGTCAGCCAGCTCTCGCCAGGGAAGAGGCTGGGAAGAAAGCATTCTACACGCAGTAACATGCTGAGTGTGTAAGGGAATTTAGCAGCATTTAGCTAGGAACTTTACAGACATTAGCTGCTCTCTTTTCAGCAAGGACATGTAGGATATGCTAGTCCTTGAGTCAAAGGAGTGGCCCCTACCCACTCCTACTTAGCTTGTCAAGCAGATTGGATGCCTTTGTTCCCCAGTTAATTTCTCATTAGCCTGGTCTGTCTTACAAACCTTCTGAAGCTGAATAGGGTGTTAGAGCCGAATGGGGCAGGGGAGACACACCAGTTCGATGCTCTCCTTTTATGTAGGGGAACCTGGAAGGGCAGGAACAGGTCCTAGGGTCTCCCAGCAGGTCAGACTTTTCCCAGCCCACCCTTCTGCTCATAGAGAATTTTATGATTCATTGTTTGCATATAACACCCAGTGCTCCATTCAGTACGTGCCCTCTTTAATACCCATCGCCAGGCTAACCCATCCCCCCACCCCCCTTCCCTCTAGAACCCTCAGTTTGTTTCTCAGAGTCCATAGATAGAGAATTTTAAACATTGACCAGGACCTTAGGAGCCACTTCTGGGCCACTCTTCTTTCTCAGGTGTCTGTACATAGTTTGGAACATTCTGGCTGCTTTGAATACAAAAATGAAGGATTGCTGGGTTATTTTAGAAGCAAATGAGAGGGCTTAGCTAAAGGTAAATTTGCAGAGCTTGGATTTTCTGTGCTTGTTTCCCGAAGGGGCTCTCCCACTTCCTGAGAGAAATTTCCTAACTATTGTAAAGCCATACACATTTTGCAAAAACTGCACCCCAGGGGCTCTCTCTGAAAATATAATTTTCTCTCAGTATTGTGCATAGTAGAGTCGGGAGGACACTGGGGGAAAAGGACAGGCCAGCAGGTAGAAGCTAGCAAAGGGATGCCTGGCATCCTGAGTGCCGTCAGCACCTGTCTGATGGCAGGGCTGGCTTCTGGATCTCCAGATCCTTGAGGCCCTGAGTCAAGGCCGGTTTCAAGCCCGTGCCTCCTGTGCGTTGCACAGGCCCTACGTCTGGTTTAGTGCTTTGCTGCTCCTTCCCAGAGCCCCTGGTGACCGTGACACTGCAGTCTGGTGGTCAGAAGTGGTAGTGCGGCTGGTAACAAGTCCCAGTCTTTCCCGAGGACTGTTTCTCGCCCAGCCTGAGCCAGTGTTAGGCCCTTTTCAGGTTTGCAGTCAGGAGGTGGGGAGAGAAACGGGAAAGCCTCCAAGAGTTCTGGTTCGGGGCAATGTGCACACGGGCAGCCTGTGGGCATGCGGTGCGCGCTGTGCGGCTCCCTCCCCGCCCCAGAGAGCCTGGACAGAGGCCTGCTTTATCATTCCACATGCTCCTGAATTAGACCCCGGCAAGGCTTCTGCTTCTTGAGAGTACAAATGAAGTGCCCGCGAGGCAGAGAGGCTCTTGATTTGCTGTGAGTGTCCAGGTGTGCCCCGGAAAGCTGCTCCTGTTGGGTAGGAGGCGGCCGGGGAGGGGATGTGCCCGGCTGCTGGAGCTCTCAGTGAGGAGCTTGCATTGGCGGCAGGAGGGTTTCCTGGAGGAAGGAAGAGCAGGCCCAGGGCAGAAGCCAGGGGAGGGGAAAGTGAAACAAAAGCACACTGCAGAGGGGACAGGCCTCTCTTCACAAGGCTTCTTGGCTCTTGCTGCATTTCCTGGGGGTTTCCCAGAATTTCCAACCTGGCCTATTCGGAAACACCACCAAACAACGCTACCTACAGTTCTGGTCAGCCTTCCAAAAGGTGTGACGTAAGTTTCTTTAAAAACACCTCTTCTTACTGTTAAAAAACAAAATTCGTCTCAGTACATTTGAAGATCTGATTGGCTTTATTCAGTGATTCATGGATTGGGTGCCATGCCATCTAGCAGATAGAAAGGAGGTCTGAGGAGCTGTACAAAATGAAAGACTTTTACAGGCAGAAGGAGGCCGCGCAAGAAAGTTATTCCAGGAAAGAGTGGACTGTTCAGGCAAGGCCACCTTCTTTGAGGGATGGCAGGGTCTGTAAGGAAGATGACCTCGCTGGTGCTGACCAGGTAGTTCCAGATTGACTGCTTCAAGGTGACATTCCTGGGGGAGGCTGAAGCTACAGTTAAGTTAGGTATTAAGTCTCGGTTTGCTGATATGCAGCTTAGCATGGGTGACTCCATTCTGGGCCTGTTACCTCTTTTTAAAAAGTGCCAAAGGAAGGGGCGCCTGGGTGGCTCAGTCATTAAGTGTCTGCCTTTGGCTCGGGTCATGATCCCAGGGTCCTGGGATCAAGCCCCGCATCGGGCTCCCTGCTCCGCGGGAGGCCTGCTTCTCCCTCTCCCACTCCCCCCCTGCTTGTGTTCCTTCTCTCGCTGTGTCTCTCTGTCAAATAAATGAATAGAATCTTAAAAAAAAAAAAAAAAGTGCCAAAGGAAGTGTTATATAGAGACATGAATGTTGTCTGTAGGAAATGACGAGACCTCAGGGATCCCAGCAAGAAAATGCCTTAGTGACCCAGCTGCCCCACCATTCACTTGTTTTTAACTCAGTGGTATTTCAGTGCTTTTACATTACCCAGAATCTGAAAATGTTAGAGCTGGAAAGACCTTAGAAAACATCTATGCTAGGGGCGCCCGGGTGGCTCAGTCATTAAGGGTCTGCCTTCGGCTCAGGTCATGGTCCCAGGGTCCTGGGATCAAGCCCCATGTCAAGCTCCCTACCCAGTGGGAAGCCTGTTCCTCCCTCCCCTCTCCCATTCCCCCTGCTTGTGTTCCCTCTCTCGCTGTGTCTCTCTCTGTCAAATAAATAAATAAAATCTTAAAAACAAAATAAAACAAAACAAAAAAATCTATGCTAAATACTCTAATATTCCAGAGTCTAGAGAGTGCAAGGAACTTGCCCGTGGTCACACAGCAGCAGAGTCTGAAACAGAGCCTCATCTCCTGGCCCCTGATCCAGACTAGCACTACTGGGCTTCTGTTTGTGACCTGTCCCTTTACAACATCACAGTCATGACTGTGGTTAACATGTCCTGCACACGTGACACCACAGCGGGGCCACACTCTCAGATACCTTTAACTGGTTGGGGTGTTTTGAATCCGTTTTCCCTTTTGCCCATGAAAGCCCCGTGAAGAAGGACCAGTCGCTGTGATGGGGGTAAGCCCCTAGGCATGCAGAAGAGCCCCGTCTCCATCAAGGGCCTTGCCTTTCCCCAAGAGCCCATAGTCCTTCTTATGTGCCTGCCTAGCAGAGCCCAGACTACAGGTCTCCACTGCCTGCTCGCTATGCTCCTATACCCAGGCTGCTCAGGGTTCAGGGAGGAGAACCAGCCATCTGTGCAGATTGGCACCTTGGTCAGCTCAGGCTGCCCTAACAAAAGGCTGGTGCCTTAAACATCAGAAACGTTATTTTCTCACAATTCTGGGAGATGGAAGTCCATGATCAAGGTGCCAGCAGGGTTGGTGGCTGGTGAGGACTCTTTGGGTTATAGATGGCCGCCTTCTTGCTCTGCCCTCCCATGGCCTTTCCTCATTACCTATGGGTAGAGGGAGAATGTGAGGTCTGGTCTCCTCCTCTTCTTTTTTTTTAAATTTAATTTTATTTTATATATTTTTTTATTATTAATGTATTATTTGTTTCAGGGGTGCAGGTCTGTGATTCATCAGTCTTACACAATAACAGCGCTCACCACAACACATATCCTCCCTAATGTTCCCACCCTTACCTCGTATAAATCTAATCACATCCCAGAGGCCCCACCTTCAAATATCATCACACAAGGGGTTAGGGCTTCAAGATAAAATCAGGCACGGGGCGGGGGGGGTGGGCACAGACACTCGATCCATAATAGCACCTCCCCAGACTGAACATCTCTACTCTCAGCTTTCTTCTCGGTTCTGCCTGACAGTGTCCCTCTGTGGTCCTGGCTGGCGGTCACTCCTGGTCCCAGGTGATCATCTCAGATTGCTTCTGTTTTCCTCAAGTCCCCCCTTGCCTTCAGCAGATGACCTCCTCTGCTCCTTCCTCAGAAAGTAGAAACTGTTCCAGTGGGCCTGCACCCTACCCCTCAAGCCCCCCGCTGCTCCTTCTAGGGTCCCCCTCATCTCTGAGCTCTGATCCCCTTCTTCTCCCACCTTCTGAATGCGGTTCCATCAGTTACATCCTCACCCTGACTCACCAGGCACTCCTGTCTCACATTCTCCCTTGACTGCACGTCCCCTTTAGCTGCCACCCTCTCTCTCCTCTTCGTGGCCAAACTTCTTGAAAGCCTCATCTGCACTTGCCATGTCCCCTTTCCCTCGCAGTCATTCCTTACATTCCTTACATTCCTTACATTCTTACATTCCTGTATCCCTACTGCAGTCCAGCTTGAGCCCCATCTGCGTGGTGGAAACTGCTCTGTGTTGCTGGGACCCTTATGCTATCCTCTGGCCAGCACTGGAAACTAGCAGCGCCTCTGCCCTCTTCAAACACAGCCTCCCTGTGTCTGCTGCTATACCACACTCTCCTGATTTTCTTCCTGCCCCTCTGGCTCTGCTGTCTAAGCCTTTTAAAAATTGTTCTTTCTCTGCTTGGTCCCTCAGTGTTGGGGCTCTTCATTTTCTGTCTTTGGTCATTTTCTCTCTACTGATTCTATACATGGGATACTTTCGTCCAGTCCCATGACTTAATATTTTCCTACTTGTACTTTGAAAGCCATATCTCTGATGCAGATCTCTCTCTCTCGAACTGCTGGCTCATATCCAGCCACTTCCTGGATGTCTTCACAGGGATCCCAAACACACCTCAGAATCCTAACAAGTATCCATGGAATAGTCTATTCTTCTCCTGAGTTGGCTGCATATTTGACAGGAGAGTTCTTGTCTCCATACAAGTCATTGCTAAAAACAGCCTTTTCAGTAACAGCACTCAAGTCCAGCCTGAGGAGCCACATCCTGCCCCTCCAGAACTTCTGGCCTTCTCTTTTTTTTTTTTTTTTTTAAGATTTTATTTATATATTTGAGACAGAGAGAATGAGAGACAGAGCATGAGAGGGGGGAGGGTCAGAGGGAGAAGCAGACTCCCTGCCGAGCAGGGAGCCCGATGCGGGACTCGATCCTGGCACTCCAGGATCATGACCTGAGCCGAAGACAGTCGCTCAACCAACTGAGCCACCCAGGCGCCACTTCTGGCCTTCTCAAACCCAAACTTGGAACTGAACTGTCTTCTCCCAAAATGTATTTTCTATAGCTCCCATCAGTGGACCTATATCTAGCTGCCAGGCCTCCGGACCCATTACCTGCAGAATGAGTCACAGGTGCATTTTGGCTCGTTTGGAATGACTCTGAGCCTCCTTGCCGCCTTATCAGGAGCCACGGGTTTCCGAGACACCAAAACTCCGTGAAGCTAGTCAGTCAGGTGTGGTCACTACTGGGATTTGTGTGCTTCCTCCTTCCCTGCTCTGGCTCCTTCTCATCCATGTCCACTGCCCATGAACCCACTGCCACCAACAGTTCCCAATGTGGCAGTGTTTGTGATCAGTTCAGGGGTTTCAGAAACCCCAAGGCCACGCGTACCCACACAGGGTGGGCTCCATGCCAGGTGGGGAAGAACAGCCTCCCCCCACCAGCCCCCCACCAGCCCCCGACCATACTACACTGTCTGTGAACCCGGAGGTGGCTCTGCTTATGGCCGCAGCTCTGGTCCTGTTTGCTGCTGACCTTCACCCCTCTACCAGCAGCTGTCCAAGCCAATCCACGGGGCGGCGCTAGCACACCACACCCCTGTGGTCATCATCCTTTCTCTCCCTGCCTCTTCCCCCTGACCGGGCTCAGTCATTAAGGGTCTGGGTTATAGATGGCCGCCTTCTTGCTCTGCCCTCCCATGATACCTTTAACTGGTTGGGGTGTTTTGACACAGCACAAACCTGCAAGTACGTCCACAGATGTGAAAGCTCAGGAGACGGGAAGAGGGGAAACAGAGAAGGTGTCTGAGCATGTCTGAGCCCCAGCTGAGCTGGTCACAGTGCCGTACTACACTGATAACCTGAGAGACCAGGCCAGTTCCTTTGCTCTCACCCCTCATGTTCTGCCATCTCCACGTCCTGTAAATTCCTGCTGCCTTCATACCTCTTCAGTATACCACCCTTCTCACAAAGGCTTGGTGACTATCAGCCAGCTACTTTGAACTGCATACAACAGAAAGCCCATCTCAAACTCAAATAATGACGACTTTGATTAGCCCATGGAACATGGAGCACAGAGTTAGGCAGCGTCAAGGTTGGTCCAGAGGCTAAAGGACCAGATTCCTTCCATCTTTCTGTTCTGCTGCCAACAGTGCTGGGCTAGACAAGAGGCCACAAAAGAGGAAATTCAGAGAAGCCCAAGGTCTCCACCCCAGGGTGATGATGGTGATAGAATGTGTTGAGAAAGGCAGTATAAGGCAAGAGTCATTCACCCCCTTTTACAGAGGAGATTCTGTGGCCACAGAGAGAAATAGTGCTCCCCGTATTTTTGGTGGAAAGAAGGTACAGAGAGGGTCATGAGATGTGGTGGGATAGTCTTTGTCAAAAATATAAAAATAAAGTAAGAAATGAAAGGCATTCAGCTTTTTGGAATTATTGATATTTTAGGGTTCTAAAATGTCAGACCTGAGAGGTCAGGGCTAGCCCCCTGGAAAACAGAAGCTTGGAGGAAGGAGGGGTAGACAGAAAGGGATGTTACTACTTAAAGATGACGCCAATGGCACATTTCTGTCAGAACTTCACAGTCAGAGGAAGAAGACATAATAGCACAGGAATGGCTTTTTAGCTGTCAGGCTGGGGAAAAAAAAAAAAAAGGTCCAATATAGCAACATCTTTAAATAAGGACTAAACTAATTTTAGATATGCCAGCAAACAGAGGCTGGAGGCAAGGAAGGGGAAGGGGAGGAACATCCTAAACCAAAGCCCAAAATACTGTCCTTTCTCCCTATACTGTCTAGCTCAAGGACCACCTCCTCCAGGAAATCTTCTGTGCCCCCACCCCACCCAGGGCAGGGCCCCAGGGTTCTGTATACCCCTAGCCCTTTGTCTCCCTTTATCTAAGCACTCGTGACACTGGGCTTTACTGGCCTGCTCACCAGTCTGCTTCCAGTACTGGACCATGTGCTCCCTCGGGGCAAGGATCAGATCCTTTGAGCCTGGAATAGAGAGAGTGTTGATGGAAAGAAGGAATGAGTTGGATGAATGAGTGAATGGATAGGACTGTGTTAAGATAAGGATGAAGAGAAGGGGAAGCCAGTTCTGTTTGGGGAGAATTAGGGTATGGTCCCCGACTTCTGTGGGGTCAAGGATGAGCCACAGGGAGAGACCAGGTTTCTTTTTTTAAGATTTTATTTATTAGAGAGCAGAAAGGGAGAAGCAGACTCCCCACTGAGCAGGGAGCCCAACATGGGGCTCGATCCCAGGACTGCAGGATCATGACCCGAGCCGAAGGCAGACGCTTAACTGATTGAGCCACCCAGCCACCCCAGGACCAGGTTTCTCATGCCCTGGAATGCAAGGCTGCGGTCTGTGGCTGGCCCACCCCTGAGCATCCCTGCTAATTCCACACCCCTCCACAAAGTCATCCTAGAAAAAATAAATTAGATTTGCCTCAGAACATGCCAACTTCACCTAGAAGAAGGAAAAGCCTGGGGCACCTGACCTGGGTGGCTCAGTCAGTTGGGCGTCTGCCTCCAGCTCAGGTCATGATTCCGGGGTCCTGGGATGGAGTCCCGCATCAGACTCCTTGCTCACTGGGGAGTCTGCTTCTCCTCCCTCTGTTCCTCCTCCAACTCATGCTCGCTCTCTCTCGCTCTCTCTCAAATAAATAAATAAAATCTTTTTTAAAAAAGAGGGAGGAGGAAAAGCCTTTTGGGGCTCAGAGTTAAAAGGCAGGTGCATCCCTGCCATGACCTTGCAAGTGCATCTAAAAGTTCTGTATCTACACTTGGCTGGCAAAGTCTTTTGTGTTTTTCCCCCAAGGAGAAAAACGTTCAAAAGGAGCTTCATTAATCCATTTTTTTTGATGTCAGTAAGATCTGCCTATAATAAAACGCCTCTTCCTCTGGCGTACTGGCTGGATCTGGGACTCTGTATTTTCAATAGGCTAAGGCTTCCAGGAAGCTTCTTGATGCCCCAAACAGGCAATAAAGGTTTAATTAAGATTAAAAAAAATTCCCGGTAAGCACAGGTTAGCTTCTTCTCTGTAGTCCAAGAATCTCAAAGATTTTTCTTCGATTAAGAAGGCAATAAATTCACAGATTTATTCTTTCTCAACAAAATAAACCTTCCGGCCACACTGATGCGCCGGTGCCGGGTGTATGGCCGCAAGCTACCACTAGGTGGCGGCAGAGCGCCTCTGACCACCTTCGCGGGGTGCGTGAGTGCTGCCTAGAATGGTGGAGGAAAGTGTAAGCCCAAGGACAAGTCCCCCGTTGCAAGTGGGCTGAATTCATGGTGTTTGGGGATCCTCAGTCACCTGTGGAGGCACCTGGAATCCACACTTTGGCCAAATAGAAGAAGGGGGAGTGTAGCTGCCTCGGGGTTTGCCAGGCGACAGAGAAGTGGAAAACAGTAGGTGAGGAAGCTGGCCTAATCCACACATCCCTGCTGCAAAGCCTGGCAAAGGAGGTTTTCAGACTTGTGGCCAGTTCTGCGAATTGAGGACTCCTGAGGTGGGAGGGCGCCTTAGAGCCACTGCCCAGCAGCACCCCAGTCCCTAACAGGTCAGATGTGGCCCCTCAGATGCACGTGGACAATGCCCTGGGTCCCCCCGCAAGTAGGAGCAGCCAGTCTGTGGTGTCTGTCTGCCTTTGTGTCCCCAGAGGGGGGTTTTGTGCCTCACCATGGTGGGTGACAGCTCCTAGCTCCCAGCCCCGAGCTCATACCGCCACACCCTGCTGTCTTTGTCCCAGAGTTGGCATTTCCCAGGATGCAAGAAACCTGAGATTCTGGGACAAGCAAATGTCAGACTCCCTGACCCCCGCTGCACACAGCCCTCCTCCTGCTCTCTTCCCCAAGGCAGTGAGGCTAACCTTTAGCTCTGATTGCAGAACTGAAGCTGCCAGTATGGAAACCAATTTCTTTAGTTCCCCAGACGGCCGGGAGGTCATCTCTCACCTCCAACCTGAGAGTTCCTGTTACGTGACATGGATTTATGTGCTCGTATTTCTGGGTCTGAGTGCACTTCTGTGGCCTGCCTCCTGGAATTGGGTGCAGGAACAAAGAGGATGCCTGACAGCGCTTTTCCTGTTGTTCTGGTTCTCCCTGGGACAGAAAGGAACCCCACTGACCCTTTCAGATATTTAGCAAAAGCGTGTCCCTGTGGGCATTGGGTTGATGGTTGTCACAAGTGGATATTTGTCTCTTTGGAGAACTCCTATGCATGTAGGCTCATTTCCCTCTCCTGCTTTTCTCCCTTTATTTGTTTTGCTTTTCAGAGTGGCCTAGGACTAGGAGCTCACCGCTTAGTCAGAATTCATTTTACAAGGCTTCAGGCTCTGTGAGGATAAAGGCCCTGTCCACTATCATGTGCTCACCACCTAATACAGTGCCTGGCATTTAGGGGGCACGTAATAACCATGCCTGGAATGGAATGAATGTTGATGTTTAGATTAATTAATCCCTTTTCTAATGCCCACATACCTAAATCATCATCATAGTAGATACGTATAGTAGACATGAATGAAGTAAGCACTGTTATGTGCTTTCCATATGTTATTTTCAATATTTTAGAACAACAACCCTGCAAAGGTAGATAATACTTACTCCTGTTTTGGAGATTAGGAAATTAAGACTCAAAGATTACACTCGGAGTTCAGTCAGTTGTGAGACTGTGACTTGGAGACTCCAGTTGCCACCCAAACCCAACTGATGGAAAAGTCTGGCTTTCCCCACCATTCGTTAACAAAGAAAAAAATTGAAGGAATTGTCTTCTAAAACAACTAGATGAGTTAACATTTGTAAAGTGCTTGGAAAACTCCTGTTTCATAGTAAATGCTGTATAAGTGTTTGTTAAATCAATAAAAATAAAGCCTAGGTCGATGCCAGAAGTTGGACTAAAGTCCACCTCATGGCTTCCTCTGACAGTGTTTTAATCGCCAGGAACAAATGCAGTCGAGTGGGGCCCTGGGCTGTTCTGTTGACCCTTGACACCACCACCACGTCTGCAGCATCCAGGCCCCGCGTGTTAAGCATCGCGGAATTGGAGCCCTTGGGGCTAGGAGGGGTCTCACACTGCCCAGTCCTGGAGTTTGAACCTGGAGCCCAGGTGTCCTTCGATGATCCCTCAGGGAGATTCGAAAGGTCCATGCACCCCTTAGAATGTGATGCCCAGTGTTGTGGTTTTCTGCATTTTTTAGGCACAGGGCCACAGTTTTTGTCCCGTTAGAGAGCTCTGCAACCCAGCAGGATTCTGAGGCTCTGGTTTGGCAGTGCCTCCTGAGGTCCGCATTAGGGGCGGGTAGGGAATCCCAGTGCTCGGGACTTCATTCCGGCCCCCACTACCAGACAGGCTTCTGACTCCCTCCACCCGCTCCCCTAGCTCCTTTCCTAGGGGACTTGATGGATGAAAATCACAATGTAGGACTGACAGGGCCATCTGGTCTGGCTGCTTACAGGGAAATAAGCTTTTCTGTCGTCTGCTGCCTCCTCCCGGGACACCATGACACTGCCTGTGAGCACCTTTTCGGACAACTTGAAGGGCCCCACATTACGCAGACTCTCGCCACCGCCCCCTTCCCCTATCATGCATGTTCCCAGCCATGCCAGCCCGGCAGCCACAGAGGCCCGACTGCTTCATGGATTGCCGGGGCGGGAGAGGCCACGGGAGCAAACAGCCTCTGCTGTCCTCGCACGGCATGCTTCTGCTTCACCTTTCAGAAAGGGGCTATTTCAGTGCCAAGCTTGGGAATGCTGCCTGATGGAGCAGTGACCTGGAGCTGCCTGCTTCCGGACCACTCCCGCAGCCTTACCTCACACGAAAGATACTTCGGAAACTGGCCAAAGTTCATCCTAATTTTCTAGAAGTTATTCTTTCAAACCTTTATCAAGACACCTAAGAATATAAAGCAGAAGCAGTAAAGGTACCCAGCACCCCCACTCCCGCCCCAGGATTTCTCTGAGGCCTCGGGAACTAGTAGAACCTCGCAGCAGAACACCTGCCTACCTGCCAGGGGATGCCATCTGGCTGTTGATATTTACAGACTTTGGCAGCCCAAGCCTGCCTCCTGGAGCGGGCCCCTCTGCTGTCGCTGTAGCAAGCTATGAAATTGATAGACGCCTCCCCTCTGGTGGCAATTCCAGGGATAACACCATCCTGAGAACCAGCTCCCGGGCCTTGATTGGTCTGGATGCTGAAGGAAGTGTCTTCTCTAATTAACAAGTCAATGCGTATTTCCCTTCTGGCCCATTAAGCTCCTCGAGTCATTATTTAACCACTCAGGGATATTTTGAAACTGGACACATTCTATTTTTCTGCTAAAACACAGTGTCTTAGGAATGTCTGAGTCATTTGAATTTCACAGGAATTTTATTAGCAGCTTGGGATTTCCAAACAGTCCCTCAGCCAGAAAGTCTGCTGCTTCAGCCCAACCTCTGTCCTGGAGCCTTGGGGTCCATGGTCCTGCTCTTCAAGGAACTAGAAGCCAAGAGCCTGCTTGGATTCTGACTTCAGCCTCATGTCTCTGGCTGAGGAAGCCCTTGACACCCCCACAAAGGCACGCACTCAGTCTCAGTGAGTGTCCCTGAGTGTGGGGGGGGGGGGGCTGCCCAGTGGGCCTGCCTGCCTCTTCACTCCCCCAGTGGCTGGGCCGGCACCTGCTTGCCTCCACTGGCTCATAGCTCTTGCTCCCAGACCCCCTTTGCCATGCTCCACCCATCTCCCGAAATCCCTGCCACCTCTCACAGAGCAGTTCTCCCCCAAATCACTTGCCATCTCACTGAAATGCAGACTCTTACTCAGTGGGCACAGAGCAAGCCCCCAATTCTGCATTTCTAACCAGGTCCCAGATGATGCCTATGCTGCTGGTCCATGGAGACCACTTGGCGTCAAGGACCTAGGACATTGGTTCTTAATCTCAGCCACACACTGGAATCACCTAAGAAGAAAAAAAAATACTGAGGCCTGGGTCCTACCCTACAAGTTGTGGTTGAAATGGTCTGGTGTGTGACCTGGGCACTGGAACTTTTAAAAGCTCTCTTGGTGGTCCAAGGATGCAGCCCCCGTAAAGAACCACTAACCACAATGCAGACTGCAGATTTCCAGCCCCAGGGCAACTGAGCCTCTTCAGACGCTCTGTCCCTCCATCTGCTTCAGTTCAGCCCACCCCCATGTATGTTGCCCTGGGGTCCACATCTACCAGGATGCAAATAGAACCTCTTGACCTTGTGCAGAATGGGGGCTGCCTGAGGTCACTCCCCAGTGGGTCTGGTTGAGGGCTGGTAGTTGAAAGCAAAGTCAGGGCAGGCATGAGGGGCAGTTGGGCTGGCGCAGATGGAAGAACAGGACAAGTGTGGGGGGCACAGGCTCTGTTTGGCCGCTGCCTTGGGGGTTCCTTGGGAACTGTGCAGTTGTGCCCAGGGCCGTAGAAATGCCTGCAGCATCAGCCCTTGGTGGGGTTTGGCAAAATGCACTTGGCACTGAAGGGGAAAGCCCTCTCTCCTCCCAGCCCAACTCCTGGCTCCTGTTCTTCTCGTGTTTATTCTGTTGGATGTTCTTCGGCCTGAGCAGAATTTTACCATGAATAGTCGCTATGTAGTGTACATTCTACCACGTCCCCAGATATGCCAGGCCACACTCCCTCCAACTCTTTCTCAAATGTCACTTTCTCAGTGTGGCCTATCCTGATCACCTTATTTAAAAGGTCACCCTTGATGCCCCATCACCTCCCCCCCCCCCCCCAGTACTTACCACCTGTAGTACACCACATAATCTACAAATGTGTTATGTTTGTTGTTTGACTCCCTCACCCACTCAGATGTAAACTGCCCAAGGGTTGCGGCCTGATCACAGTGCCTCCCTAGCACCTGGTGGGTACCTGGCATTCCTTTGACTTCCAGGCCTTCCCCTGCCGCCTGCCTGGTCCCCTACCTGGCTCCTCCCCGAAGCCGAGGAGCGCTGTGGCCCACCGCGGGCAGACTCCAGACACCTGCTCTTTACCTGGCCACGAGTCCCCAGTCTCAGCTGCCCCACTTTGTACCTACAGCTTCCCAATAACCAACCCCTGGTCTGGTTAGGGAGTTTTTCTAACCAAACAAGAAAATAAAAATAAGCATTTCAGTGTTTTAAGCAGCAACGTAAAATGACTTTTCCCTCCCATGGAAGCAGGACAATCAAGATCAGAGTCTTCTGTTTGTAGAGAAACAAATGTTTTGTTTCATCCTCTTCTTTTTTTTTTTTTTTTAAGATTTTATTTGAGAAAGAGTGAGAGAGAGCACATACAGAAGGAGAGGGGGAGAGAAGCAGACTCTCCGCTGAGCAGGGAGCCTACCACAGGGCTCAGTCCCAGGACCCTGGGATCATGACCTGAGCCGAAGGCAGATGCCCAACCGACTGAGCCACCCAGGGACCTTGTTGAAGGTAGAAGGAGCAGACTCTGAGGGGCGCATCCATTCTCCTGGGGTGCACAAGGCACCAAGGCGAACAGCTACCCCAGCTCCTTGCATTGAATGTGCCAAAAGTCTTCCTGCGGGCTGCTCGGGGTGACACAGCCCAGGTACATGGCCTTCACAGCTCCCCTTTTTAATTATAATTGCAGAACGTGCTTGCCTCACCTTCCAGATGACAATGAAATGACATCAGTTTTCGGGGCCACCAATAATGGGACTGGGTTTCCGAGGTGGAATTGGAGTGGAGTCTCGTTTGGGAGTGGCAAGCGCGGTGCTTGCGGTGCTGAGTGATCGGGGGGGGGGGGGGGGGGGGGGGGGGTTGACAGGAGGGCAGGAGGGAAGTGCTGAGGCCGCTGCAGGCTGGCACGAGAGAGGTGTGAAGGGGTGAAGGATTAAAATAGGGCCACTGGGAAGTTGGGGCAGGAATATCACACTGGGAAAAGGAAAAGGGCAGGTAGGTGAGGTGGGCAGATGGATGGGGAGAAATCAGCTGAGTCATGAAGGCCAAAGAGATCTCAGGCTTCACAGGGTCTTTCATATGCAAAAGCAATGCACTCCTGGGGCACCTGTGAGCTGCAGCCTCAGGCTTCTCCTGGCCTCCGGCCTCCGGGCCTCCGGGCCTCTGGGCTGTGAGGTGGAGGCCTCAGCACCCTCATCCTTCTTTGCTGGCCTTCCCTTCCCTGGCTCTGGCTTCTACCTGTAACTCAGGGTTCTCATGCGTCCCTCTGACGAAATCACAGCTGCTCTCACCAGACCCCTTCCACACCTCTCTGCTCTGAACAGGACACTCAGTTTCACTTGAATTTCAGATAAACAATGAATACTTTTTTAGTGTAACTATATCCTACACAGTGTTTGGGATGTACTTGTACTAGAAAATTGTTCATTGTTTATCTGAGATTTAACTGGATGTTCTGTATTTTCTCTGGCAACCCTCCTGAGCTCTATATGATGTCAGTTTGGGGTCTTTGTACCACCCTCCAACAGCTGGGGGCTCCTTCAAGCTTTCCCTAGATGGATCGTGAGGAAGAAACTCCACCTCAAAGCACTCACAGTATTCCTTTGCAGAGAAGGGAGCATCTCAGAATTCCCTCTTCCAGTGACACCCTTGGGATCCCTGCAGGGGGGGGGGGATGCTGACCCCCTTCAGCAGATGCTCCCTCTGGATGGAGAGGAGGGGGACAGCCAAGTGTTTGGCCATCGAATAACAACATCAACGTCCTCATCAACCCATTTCAGCAACATGGTGCTTTATAGGTCAGATACATTCCCTCATTTAACTTTCAGTAGGAGTTAAGGAGTTTTATAAGTGGGAGACTGAGGCCCAGAATGCAGAGATACCTTCACACATAGTCCTGGGTGTCTGAAAGTGGAGCCAGAAGTGAGGGTTCCCTGCCTAGTGCTACCTCTTCTCCTTCAGGATGCCTGATTCTTCCTCAACAAGGCAGTGAGGTTTGGCCTGAGCTCCCCCATCCCCCTAGAGGCACCCCTGTTTCCCAGGATCTTGTGTTCCTAATATGATTTTTTTTTAAAGATTTTATTTATTTATTTGACAGAGAGATACACAGCAAGAGAGGGAACACAAACAGAGAAAGTGGGAGAGGGAGAAGCAGGCTTCCTGCCGAGCAGGAAGCCCAATGCGGGGCTCGAACCCAGGACCCTGAGATCATGACCTGAGCCGAAGGCAGATGCTTAACGACTGAGCCACCCAGGCACCCCCAGGATCTTGTGTTCCTGAGGGGCGTCCATCAAATGCCTGAAGGACCTACCCAGCTCTGAGGTTCTGCCCCTCCTTCCCACTTCCAGTCCTACTCGGGAAAAATCCCACCCTTGGTGGCTTCATCTCCACCTCTTGGGGTTTCCCAAAAGATTGTCCATGAAGCACTTGTCCCACCAGATGCTCGGCGACAAGATGTTGCTGTGATCCAGCGAGTTTGGAAAGCACTGATACTCTGATCCCTTTTGAGCATGATGATGCATAATAACATATTAAGGGCACTGAAATGTCCTGCCTAGAAAAATAGCCACTTGACTTTGACCCCAATTTTCCAAAACATGTCCAACCATAGAAATTATCAAGTAACAGCCATCGACATTCTGTGGAACTAGGATTCCATACAACCCACGTTGAACTAAATAGAGATTTAGTTCAAATCTTTGTTTGTATAGCTGAAAAGCATTGAAAATTCATTAATTTATTGAGCATTTATTAGAGGTGAGTTGAGGGCTTCCTAAATTCAGAGCCTGTGCTAGACTCCAGACCACACACAGACGTACAATAATAACAGCTCATTTTCATGCAGTTCTTACACCTAGCCAGGCTCTCCGCTGATCTTTGTGATCTCCAGTGATTACAAGGAGCCTCTGAGATGTGGGTTTCACACCCATTATAACGATGAGGAGACTGAAACATGGACTAATGCTGTGAGTTGCCCAGGTCAGCCTATAGCTCCATCTCCTCATGAGTTGGTTTTGCTCTTCATGATTCTACCCAGTGGCCTCTTGGAAAACGTTGCATTTTGCTGGGAAATTTAGAGCCCGGGAGGAATGACGAGGGTGAGTCTGAGACCAGGGCAGTGGCTGGGATCTCAACCCCTATCCCCTCCTCTTCTCCCGCTTTTGTCCCCACAGGTCTACCTGGCTGAAGCCGTGCTGTGGGAAGAGAGCAGCCGTGTGGCAGGTATTTTTGCTCAGTGCGAGTCTCAACAGTTTCCTGGTAGCCTGTGTAATATTGGTGGTGATTCTCCTGACTCTGGAACTTCTAATAGATATAAAGCTTCTCCAGTGTGAGTAGCAAGAGAGATACATATGCAAATACATATGATGTCAATATTCAATGTGCATCCATCAGGGGTCCCCAACCAGCAGTGCCATCTGCCCACCTCCCCTTCCCCCTGCCCGCCCAATGCCACTGTCACGCCCCTGGCCCCATGGCTCATGGGGATTACTGCCCAGGGAGGAAATCTGGCAGTTTCTCTCCCCGTCATTCCCAGTATCCGTTTGCCCCTTCTCCCCAATGTGGCCTCTCCAGAGCCCCCGCCCCAGCATTCCATGATCAGAAACTGATGAGATCTAAAACGTTGGGGACCCCTGTGTGCACTTTTTTTTTTTTTAATTGTTCCCATTTGGAATTTTCCAGGTTGGACTTTTTTGTAGCTTACAGAGAGTTCTTGTGTGTGGAAGTGATCACCTTGTAGTAACTGATAATAACAGCATCCACAGTGATGATAGGATTGCTTGTATTTTTATGCAGCCGTAAGTTGGCAGAGTTACTTATGTCTGTGATCATCTTGAAAGCACTTTTCCATACATCCGATCCTAGCAGCAACCCTGTGAGGTGGACATGACTGATTTTATCTCATCTTATAGGCAAGGGAATTAACATTTGGAGAAGTTAGAGACTTTCCCTAGGTAAGGGACTTCAGGCCACCAGGCCATTCAGTGGTCCAGCCAGTTTCCTTCCCACCATAGGTCTCTTGGTGTTCGTTCTAGTCTTGTGTTTATGGGAGCCTGCTGCACATGGCAGTCGATGGCTTGTCCCGCTACCTCTTCTGCCCTCCTGGATGTCCTGTGGTAATGTGGCCATCGAGGCAGGGGCACTTCCTGCCCCCAACCCTTGCAGACCCCTATTTTAGTGCACGAGTGGGGGGAGCCAGGAGTCTTCACCCTTGGCTTTGGGTGAGTGAGTGTTTTGTGGTAGAGCTCCTGGATCCCCGTATTTCCCCGATTCAGGAAGTGGATTATTCAAGTGCAAATAAAAAAGAGATGAAATTATTGGCCCCCAAGATTCTGCCATTGGCAAAATCTAGGACAATAGATCCAGCCACCTCCAAACCCATTAAGTTGACCTCGACTTGTTTTCTCAAATGCCCTCAGTTCTTTTACTGGAGCCTCTGTTTTCAGGGTCCATCAGAGCTCCTTCCACACCCTGTGAGCCTTCCCTGCTCCCTAAGAGAGAATGACAGGGAGTACAGAATTGCTTTTGTCTGATAAGCCTCGTTGGGTTTTGTGCAGCTGGTGGCCCCTTGGTTCCAATCAAAGGGTCTTCCAGCATAAAGTGACCAGCACTGGTTTTACACTCAACCTGTCTTCAATTAAACCATGTTGTATACTTTCCCTCCCACTCATCCATATGTCTGCTTTTTATGAGGCCTTGGCCATAACAGTCTTTCTTTCCCTGTCGTAGGTTATATTTGGGGCCCTCGGCTGCTCAGGTTGTGACAAGGCATTGAGTAGAACTGAGAACCTGGCCGACACTGGAATTTTGCTTAAAATTAAGTATCCAGGAGATTGATTTTGGTGGGAGATCCAATAGCAGCTCATAAAAGGCATCTTAAATTCCATAAAATGCACAATCAGAGATTTATTGCTCTTCTAAAGCAAACCATAAAAAAAGGCACAGGAATTCATTTGAGAAATAATGGGGAGAAATTTTATGTTTTCAGAATCATCTGGAGGTCTTTTCAGAGTCACACAGGCCTCAGACTCTCACTTCCCACCAGTCCTCATGTGGCCTGGGATGGAAAGAATCCACGTGCCTCCAGGCCTCATCCTCTAAGGGGGTCACACTGGCCCAACGCCAGGGGACCCTGAGGTCTCCCACCTGGAACCTGGTATTGCAGCCTCCCCCTCCCCCCTGCCACCCCGGACATGCTCCAGGACCGGGTTTCTGCCCACCCCCAGGGTTCACTGATCTCAGCGCTTTGGGGGAGTCTGTGGGTTCTTGTCTTTCAGGCCAGCCTTCCCCACCGAGGCCCTGGGTATTCTCCTTGAGCCCCTAGGGCTGCATGCTAAGCAGGCCTGGCCCAAGCCCAGGAGAGAGGCAGCATAGGTGTGTTTTCAGCAGCATGCCTGCACCCTGTTTTGGCCCCGCCCTGTGGTATCCCTTTCAGGACTGCCTTCTGGGAAGCATCCCCATCCATCCATTCCCCATCAGAGCCCACCTGACCCTTACCTGGGCCCCAGCACCCTGCTTTTGACCTCACTACCTGATAAACTATGCCCTGCTTAGGCTCGGGGGCTGGTCATGGCTCCCGTATTTTAAAAGGGTCTTTCAGAGAGAGCGCCTTCACTCCAGGGATTGTCTGGTGGAAGGTGGGGTGGGAGCTTTCAGGGGCTCACGGCTCTCCCCACTTGCACTCTGGAGTCTGGAGGGCGAATGGAGCAACATGGAAGGATAGCAGACCCTGGCTGCTTGTGCTTCCCCGGTCAGGAGGTGACATGCCCCGTACTGGGCCTGGCTTCACCCTCATCCCCCAAACATCCTCGTCGACATGGCCAACTCTACACTCAGAGTTTTCACAATGAATAGTCAAAGTTAGCTTGTCTTGAGTCCCACTAACAATGACCGGAGCTTTGGGTGTGAATTGTGGTAGGGGTTTCTGAAAGCTCATCTAGACTTGACTGAAGCTGCCTACCCTACTCTGAAAGCCACGAAGGTCTTCATAAGCCCCACTCTGGAGGGCTCCTTTCTGGGAGAATGGCTATGGCTCCCAAGCCCACCAAGGCCGATGGGACTGAGCTGGAATTCTGGGAGGCAGCTGATGGGGGAGACAGAGATGGCCTCTGAGAGGAAGGAACAGCACCACTGGCCCTCCGTCCTCCCACCACCTCCACCACAGACACCATTTTAAGCTGCCCTTGATGTTCTCTGGCCTGATTCTGTCCCGATCTAAATGTTCACATGAGCAGGCCCCGGGCTCCCAGAGGTCGGCCTCCATGCTCTGAAGGCCATCTACCAACGCACCTAACTCCTTGCTCCTAAAATTGGCCCATTATTGTGTTCGTTGCAGTTTCCAGCGCATTCCAATTTGCCGGCATAATTCACTGGATCAGTCTGGTCATTCTTTCTGTGTTCTTCTCAGAGGTAGGTAAAGACTTGGGCCCTGTGACCTCTTTAGGGCAACTCCTGCCCTGGGGAGACCAAGCTCTGTTCCCTAAACATTTATCAGTGTCCCGCCCTCTGTTGGACCTCAAGGCTGCAAAGAGGGGGAGACAAGTCAGGGGCTGGGCTCTGGGCCAGGAGGTGCCACTGGAGGAGCAGCTGCTGATGCCTCCAGGGAGGCCTGGGCCCCAGCACATGACCCCTGCATGGAATCCCAGAGGCTCAGCAGGTGTCGTCTGAGTAAGGGGTGGGCAATGACATGTGTGAAGGTGAGACTGAGTAGGATGTGGCTGAGGGAGAGCGAAAGGTCATGCATCCGGTAAGGAGCAGGCAGGAGGCTGGGCTGATGCCCAGGGGGCCTGCAGGTGGAGAGAGCGGCTCGGAAGCTGCCCCTTGGGGCTCAGGCATGCAGAGGGCAGAGAGGATGGAGTCGTAGGCCTGGGCAGTGGACTTGAGCAGGGGCTCCAGGACCGTGGGGTCTGGCTAGGCCGAGTATAAGCAGAGGGGCACATGAATGGAGTGGTGACATCAGGGATCATGGACACCCTTTACCATTGCTCGAGCCAGTCAATGAAGCCCAAGTCGGGATCTCCGTGTATGAGGTAAGAGGGAAAAAGCTCCTGGGGACTCCTGGGCCACTGGGTTTTAGTGCCAGCTAGTTGCCCGGTGTGAGACTGAACTGTGTGGGCAACCAGGATCCTAGCACCTTGCTCTCTGCCTTTACACAGGGGTGAATGACCCTTGTTTTGAGCACATGAAATTGACTTGGGACTGCTACAGGCAGGGTCTGCCAGGGTGGCTGGGAAGGTTGGGCTTTATCTTGTGAGCAGTGGTGAGTCATTGAAGGATGGGGGAATTTCATGTGGAAATCCAGTTCTTCCCAACAGAGCGAGAGACTAGCCTGAGTCAGCTGGTCACTGTCCCTCTCCAGCCGTGTGCCCTACCTCCACTGCCCCAGGCCCACATCAGCTCATGCAGAGGCCCCAGCGGGGCCTTTCAGCGGGGTCAGCAAGCATGGGGAGAATGGCAGAAAAAAAGCCTATTGGGAAGATGCATGCACATGTACATGTGTGTGTGCGTGCACACGCACACACAGCTCACATCAGTTGAGTGTGGGCACAGGGGGCTCTGGATCCCAGAGCACAGCAGTGCCTTGAAGGGAAGAAGGATGCTCATGAGTGAAGGTGTGGAAGTACAGAATATTTGGAGACATGACCAGGAAACCCAAAGAGTTAAGGGTCCCAAGGTCCCCTTGTGGGCCAGCTCTGGCCCCATATAATGGCCCCCTCACTATCCTTCAAAGATCAGTCCAGAATCCTGAGTCTGGATATGGGGTGTGGTAGGGCTGGGCGACAGGCATTCCAAGCACAGAACATTCCCTTCCCAGGCCTCGACTCCCGCAGCCCACAGAATTGGCAGGCAAACCTGGACCTGAAGCTCCGGCTGTGGGGGCAGATCCCAACCAGCTCGCTGAGACCATTGCCCTGGAGGTGACTCAGCAGCCCCTCAACAGTGCCTGCTTCCCAGACTACTGCTCTTTGGAGGGTCTTGCCCTCCCCAGCTCCCTCGCCTCCACTCCCCATGATCCCGTCCCACAAACACATGGGCTATGTATGGCCAGATGTCTCCTTGATGCAGACCTTGGAAAATGTGTCATGTGTCTGTGACTGCCAACAAAAACGTTTAATCAGTTGCTGTGGTTCTTCCCTCTATCCCTCTGCTTTGGTTTTATTGGCTTTGCAGAATTTATTACCCAGCATGAATTTGGCATTCCCCTCCTGTCACTGCCAGAGACAAGCCACCTGAGACAGTCAAGCCCCTGTGCAGACACACACCCAGAGCGGGAGGGGCTGGGGCTTCCCTCCGGCTCAGCAAGTGTGGTGGGGGGATGACTGTGCCCCTGACCTTGGCCTTGTTGAAGACCAAAGACCAGTTTGTGTGGAGCCATAACGGGGTAGTATCAGAGGGCTAATGGGGGCGTCACAGGGCACCCTGCCCTGCGTGAACACAGGGGCTGCTACACAGTGATCTGAGGATGAGGCAGCCCAACTCATGAGCCTGAGTTTTCACATGTCATGGAGTGCCCGAAGAACCAAGCATCAGAAGGGGCTAGAACAGCCTCAGAGAGTTACCCCCACCCCTGTTCCCCAGAGGGCTTGGAGTTGTGTGAGGGTGTTTGTGCTCCTCAGTGACTGGGGCACCTCTAGTGAGAAGGGCCAGGGGAGCCAAACGTCCCTCAGCAGTGCATTCAGTACTGAAAATGCTGGTAGTGGCCTTTTTCAAACTCTACAGACAAGGAGAGCAGCCTGGGGTTACCTGGCCAATTCTGGCCAAACTGGGCCCTCAGGGCTCCTAATCTGGGCTGTCACCCCTGCATCCCTCTGTGGCCCTGGTGCCAGCAGGTTGTGAGGGAACCAAGGATCTGGGGGAAGGGCCAGGGCCAGGAGCCGAGAAAGAAGAGATCCAGCCCTGCAAAGCGTCTGATCCCTGACCTAGTGCGACCGGCACGCCTGCCTCGTCTAGTATGAAGTGAATGTCACCCCTTAAAGGCTGGCCCCATTTTCCTCAGGAAATACGTAGAGACGTGGCTATAGGCCGAGGTGGGGGTGGGGGGGGTCATTCCAAGACTCCAAGCCTGGCTGGACTGAACGAATGGGTGTTCATTCACAGATTCTACAGAGGTTTGACCCAAAGGGCTCCTGATGCTGTGGTACCTTTTGACTAGTCCTGAGCAGTATTCTGGCCCTTGTCTCAACTAAGCTTTAGGGCAACCCAGAATGTGGGTGTGACATCTTATAAGTTGGGAAACTGAGGCCTGGAGAGAAGTGGAAAGCTGCCCAGGGTCTGCAGAAATGACAGGTGGGACCGGAAGGAGGCTCCACCCCATCCTTTGCCCATTTCAGTGCTCTAAGGGCCGCTTCAAGGCAGATGGGTCCCCTGGGCTGTGCGGGCCCCAGAGGACACATCTAGACCCAAAGAGAAGGGTTGAGGCTGCTCTGGGCTCAGGTTGAGGACATCTGTTCAAACAGGCTGTGCTACTTGCCTGAGATGCTTCTCAAAGTGGTGAGGGTGGGTATCCCCTCAGTCAAGCAGGCTATGTGGGGTCCCTACAGGGGCCCAAGGTGAAAGCAAGTGCCCTCAAAGTTTCCTGGGCCCTGATAGTCACTGTGCTTCCAGATGGCTCTGGAGCACCCAAGAACGAGCAGAGCTTTTGGAGTCCGGATGGAGAATTGTGCAAATGCTGTTTGCAAAGCACAGGCAACCCCACCCTTGGCTGGTCCGCTTACAGCCAGGGAGCCCAGCTGCTTCTCCTCCCGAGCCTGTGCAGGCTTGGGGCCTGGCCAGACTGGGCCACCCTGCAGCAGGGTTCTTGCGCAGGCCAGGAGGGGCTGGCCCTGTCCCCTAATGCTGGGCGTGCGGGGATTTGGATCGGCCCCACTCTTTTCCTGGAAGAGGAGAAAGCTGACGCATGGCTGGCCCTCTAGATCCGAGCCTCAGGGCGGTGGTGGTAGTTGCAGTTTCCTCCTCCTCCTATTACTTTATTGAGGTGAAATTTGCATGACTTAACTCTTTTAAACTATGCCATCCAGTGGCATTTGGTGCATACAGTGTTGTACGTCACCTCTTTCGAGTGCCAAAGCGTTTTCCTCCCTCTCAGAGGAGGCCCAAACCCATGATGCAGTCACTCCCCATTGCCCCTTGACCCAACCCCTCCCGACCCCTGATCTGCTTCCTGTGTCTGTGAACTTAACTAGTTAGTCTGGGTATTTCACACAAACAGCATCACACGATATGTGATCTTTTGCATCAACGTAACATTTTCGAGTTTCCCCAGGTTGTTGCATGGGTTAGTGAGTCATTCCTTGTTATGACTGAATACAATTCCATTGCATGGAGAGGCCACATGTTGTTTTTCCACCTGTCAGCTGATCAGGCCTTCTCTCACCATCACTGTGAGGGCCACCTCCTCTCCAACACGGCCTCTCGGTCCCGAGGGAGCCTGGCCTGCTGGCTTACCTGTGCCGTGTGCCCAGAGAAGGCCATTGCCAAACCAAACTGAGCCAGCGCTGCCTCTCCAAATCAGCAGCCACCCCAAGACTCTGTACTCGTGAGGGGGGCCCTCTCCCACCTGCTGCTTGCTCCCAGGGGTGAGCCCCAGTCATCACACAGAAGGCAAGAGGGCGGTGCTGTGCTTTACGCTCTGAGAGATGATGTATCTGCGCCCCTCGGTGTCTGATGAGGACTCAGCAAGCGGGAGCCAGTTTGGCCCTGGAGGTGCAGGATGCCCTAGGGCAAGTGACCGGAGCTCTCTGCGCCTTGGCCTCCTCCTCTTTGACCTGAGGGAATTGGACCTGTCCTAGGGGCTGGGCTGCCTTCTTGACCCCCCCTAAGGTGGAGCATGCTCACACTTCAGGGAGAGGATGTATTCCCTGTCTCCCTTTCCACGTTTCAGAGAGGTGGAGGGAAATCGGGGCTCCAGACCTGCCTTACCCCCAGCTGAGAGAGCCCCTGCACATCCTGTCCCTTCTGACTTCACTCGTCCCATCCATCATGTGAACAGCGGCTGCCCCACCACCTCGCAGGGAAAGCCTGATAGGATTATGAAAGTGCCCTAAAAAGACTGAAGAGGAAGAAATGGGTAAGAGCTCAGAGCACTGGACTTCTCAAGGGATCAGGCTTGATTCAGAAGGTCCGTTGCTGCCGTCCCCAGCTCGTGCCACGTGCCCCCCTGGGGCCGGCCCTAGAGCAAGCCTGCCGTGACTCCTTGCTGCTTTTCCATCACTGCCAGGAGCCCTCCGTCTTTGCACGCCTTAGCCAGGTGTCCAGGGTGCTGCGCAGAGATAAAAATCAGGTGCCACTGAGCAGGCCTGGCTTCAGGGTGTTTGTGGTCAGCTGGGAAGCAGCCAAGCAAACGTGAGAGCTGAAGTGCAAGCTTAAGGCAGTCATAGAAGCAATCTGCCTGCAGACGTGTGAACTTCCAGGTGGGTGAGCTGGAAGGACCTCAAGCAGCGGTCACAGAATGCACAGGGGACAGAGGTGGGAGCCAGCACCATGTGTCTGGTCATCCACTATGGCAGGAGAGGTGGAGAGACTTCGGGGGAACCCCGGCAAGACCAGGTCACAAAGGCCCCTAATGTCTTGCTCAGGAGCTGGGGTCTTGATCCGAACCCAGTGGGAGTCCCCGGAGGCCTCTAAGCAGAAGAGGGGTCTGATGAAATTGGCTCTTTAGAGAAATCACCCTGACAGCCACGTCTGGAGGAAGGGGGAAGACTGGAATTTGGAGACCATTTAGGAGGCATGGCTCAGCTATGTGAGGTTAACGGTTTGAACCGGAAAGTGGAAGGGAGATGGAGAAAGGGACAAGCGGGAAAGAGATTAAAGGCTACACTGATCATCACTGATCATCACTGGTGCCCAGGGGTTGGAGGGAGCACGGCAGTGAAGAAGACAAGCCAAAGAGGCGATAGTGATGGGGTTTACCAAGCCAGAGCTGCTGTAGGAGGAAGTTTCTAAGCCAGACACATGGACTTAGGGGGCTTCCAGGTATCGGTGGGAATTGCAGCCAAGGGTATGATCGTCCAGGGATGAGGGGAGGGAGAAGAGAAGAAACTGGAGTCCTGGGAAACACTGTTGATATGGACAGGTGAATGCAAAGGTGTGGCCAGGGAAGTGGGAGGAGTACCCAGAGCCGCTGGTACCCTGGAGACAGAAGGGGGGTTCCTTGAAGAGGTGGGAAGTGCCCAGCGCACCACACGACGCCACACTAAGATAAATCGCAGGACATTCTCCATGAGACCTGACAACAAGGGGTCATCGGTAACCAAGGTGTGAGCGGTTCCACCGCTGTGGTGGGGCTCATGGCAGATTGCAGTGGTTTAAGTGGAGACGCATCCTCCAAACCTCCACCTGGGAGAAGGGAGACAGCAGTGGCCAAAGGGAGACATGGGGTCAGTGAGGGATGTTTTAGAATGGAGGAAATTGAGAAGGTTCTTGGGCTAAGAGGAAGTTCTGGAACTCAACTTTGCACAACTTGTGTTATCTCAGGCTTGCTTCCTGACCCGAGGGCTGGCACAGAACGCACACACTCAACATTTAAGGGACTGACATTTGGTCGTGTTGTCCACCACCTCATCCTCTACCCTACGGACCTCTTACCCATTCTTTTAAGGTAGCTGGGAACCTCCTGCCAAAATGAAGCCAGCACCAGGGAGAGCGCAGCCAGTTTGCCTGGGAGCCCAGTCCCCCGGAGGTATCGGAGGTGTTGGCTACTGTGACTGGTCAGGAGGTTCACGTGTCGACTCCTAGGGAAGACACCAGCCTCCTGGGGAGGAGGCAGTCTCTGGCTCACTGCTCTGTGCCCATGGATTTTGAGGGTGTAGGGATGGAGGAGTGAAGGGGAGGCTGGTCCCTCTGCTCCTGTTTTATCAACACCTAAGCCTAGGAGGCGCTATTGTGCTCCACGCATCACCCCCAATCTGCACCTGTTACCCAGAAAGCCTTTCTTCTGCGCACCAATTCAAGACTGCTTTCAGCCCTGGTAAGGGTTCCTCACATTTCTTTCTTCTTCCTTGTGGCTGGATCCTGGATTCCATGTCTTCCTCTTGCTGCTCTCGTTTAACCCAGGGATGGGGGGGATTTGGAATCAGCAGCTATCTTGGCAGAGAAAACTCGCCCAAGAGTAGATGTGCTTCTTGAAGAAGTGCTTGGGGTCAGCCCCCAGCCACCTAGTGCGCACCGTGGGTAGTATTCCCTAGGCCAGCCTGCACCCCCCCTCCCCCTCTCCCACCCTGCCCAGCTGCAGTGTTGTGGGGGCACAGGCCTAGGCGTATGCAGCTCCCTTCTCCCCCGCTGATGGGGCCTGGCTTCGGGGATGGCTCTGCAGGGAGCAAGGGTGCCAGCCCCCATTCTGCTCACCAAGCAGTGAGCCAGGGGACCTCCCTCTGCCTGGAAACGGGGTACCTTTTAAAAATTTGCATAGAGGAATCTTATAGACTAGCAGGTGCTTCTGCCTGTATCCCCCAAGGTTCCCAAGCCCTAGAAGCTCATCCGACCCCATTCCAGGGAGAGAAGGTGGGGCCTTCTCAGGAGGGACAGGAGGCCTTGCTGCCACCTAAGACAGGCCCTGAAGCAGAGGCAAGGGTCTCACTCTTCCCTCCGGCTGCCTAAAGCCTAAATCCCTTCTCCGGGGAGAGGGGAGAGGAGTCCTTCCAGAAAGCAGGGCTTCCTGAGGGAAAAGATGAGGGTACCTGAGGTGGGAATGAAGAGGGGCCTGAGGACCAAAGGGTTTACCTGTTTCTCCCTGAGCCTGTTTTTGCACCTGCAAGATGGCATGGGAGCTGGGCTTATAGTAAACACATGATGCTGTCATTGAGGTTTCGCTAAGACTTTGGCCTATCCCATGTGTCAGAGCAACCTTATCTCTTGAAGGCAAGGCTGGAATGAAGGGGGCTGAAAACCCTCAGTCCCAGGTGGGAAAGAGGCAGCTGGAGCTGAGGATTTCAGTTCCCTTGGACCCTTGCTCAAAGCCCTTTGCAACTCTTGGGGGCAGGATTGCAGGAGGAGGGGCCTAGGGGTGGGAGTGAGTGATAAAACACCCCCTCCTCATTGCCCTGCTCTTGTCTTCCCCGTGGAGCTTCGTAGCAGCCTGGTGAGGTGGGCAGCATGGGGCGCGAGTCCACCTTCATCCTAGCCGTTGGCCCATGCTTAGTAAGGGAGAGGGCCAGAAAGAGGATCCGACTTTTGACTGCTGCTATAATTCTCCTCCCTGTTGCATCTGGGCATGCGGCCTCCCTGTTTTCACTTGGGGCATGTCACTTGATAAATCCCTCTGGTTTCTGGTGGGTACCCTAGGGAAGTTTGTGGAAAAGGCATATTCCTGGGCCCTGCCCCCAGAGATTCTGATATCTGGACCTCCAGGCCAGCCCAGGAATCTGCAGCTGAGACAGATCCCCAGATGTGACTGACGCAGGGGGTCCTTGCCTGCATGTTGAGAAACACAGCTGTCCGTGGGTGAGTCAGCCCGTGGCAGGGCAGGGTGGCCAGGTGCCTGTCTCTGCAGACAGGAGAGCTTGGCAAAGGACGCCGCAGGGCAGGGCCACCAGGTGGGGTGTCTTGGAGCTGGCTTCTCGTTCTAGCTCTGACTCGGACTTGGAGCAGCTGTCTCAGGCCACCCTTCCCCCTCTGCGGTGCGAGGCTGGACCAGGAGGTGTTTCCACAGCTCTCTCCACAGCTGCCTTTGGCTGTTCTGTTTCCATAGGCCGGGTTAGGAAGGAAAGGCGCCCCCAGAGGAGGGTGACCTGAGCTGGGCCTCAGAGGACGGATCCTGGGGGGGTGGGCCAGCAGGGAGGGAGGCAGGGAGCCCCGTGCCCCAGCCACACGGCTTGTTTCTGTGGTGCTGCTTCAGTCCTCCAGCCGCTCCACTTCCATCGCTTCGGAGCCCAGAGGTGGGCGCGCGCTGCCTGCTGCTGGCTCCTCCCCTCGCGGGGGTTGCTGGCTGCAGCTCATGCCTGGCCGGCTCCCTTCCTCATCCCCCAGCCCCACATCCCCTGGGCTGCTGCCTTGCTTATAAAGAAGCGGCAAGATTCCTTTTATAGGAGGTTCCTAGAGGAGTCAACCTCAGAAACAGAAAGTAGAACGGTGCTGGCAGGGGCGGGGGATGGGGAGTTCGTGTCTAGTGAGTACGATGGAAAACTTCTGGAGACGGATGGTGGTGACAGTTGCGTGACAGTGCGAATGTACTTAATGCCACAGTACGCTTTTAGAAATGGCTAAAATGGTAAAATTTGCGTTACGTGTATTTTACCACAATCTTAAAAGAGGACAAAGGAGAAGGAGAAGCAGCAGGAGAAATTCTCTTCGGACCAGGCCCTGTTCCCCTCTGTCCTGGCCTGCACTTTTTGCTTTGGGAGCCTCACAACTGGGAATTTGGAGTGGATGTGGCTGGTGTGACATTTCAGGGGCGACAAAGACCAAATTTCAATGTCAGTACAGTTAGATGGATTGAACAGCAACCAGAGAAACCAGGCCCATGGTGGTTACACTGCTTGAGTATACCATGCGGAGTCCAAAACATCTGGGTCCAAAGGCCAGCTCACCATCCAATGCCTGAGTGACCTGGGCCGCTTCCTTAATCTCTGTGAGCTTCAGCTTCCCTCTCTGCAAAACGAGAACCACACGTGAGGAGGGCTGGCCCAGGGCCCAGCACTTATTGGTATACAGTAAATGGCAAAGGTTAATTTCATAAAGAATTGGAAAATTCACATCATTTAACCCATCTCTCTGGCAGAGGGGAAACTGAGGCCCATAGAAGGGATCTGACTTGCCCAAGGCCACACAACAAGTCCGTTACTGAGCTGTGACCTCAGGATATCTTGGACCTCAACCCAGATTTCTGTCCACCCACTCGGAGCCATCCTACAGTTAAGCACGGGTCCCCTACCCGGGAGATCAGGAAGCCAGGTGAGAATGGACATCAGGCTGTCACATGACCCTCGCGGTTGTCAAAGATGCCGCCAGCACCCCACCTATGCATTCCTTCATGAGAACAGGATAGTCTTTTATAAGGAGGAGGTGAATTTTATCAGCCAAGCCGATCTGTGGTTTAAATGTGGGTGGAGATCCATGGGCTTTTGGCAGCTTTGTTGAGTTCACGTGCTGGCCCTGTACTGCAGCTCGTGGGAGAAGAGACACCGTCTGGTGTGAATTACTGTGAACTAGTCATCTTGGTTTAAGGAAGGGCCTCCAGACAAATGTACCAGCATGTCTAAGTATTCTCTTTGGAGGGAGATGTATGTAGCCTTGATGAGGAAACCTGGCCTGAAGGCAGCAGCATTGGAATGACTTACTAGGGGTTTTAAGGAATTAGTCATTCACACGTGCATTTGTTCATTCACCCAAACCTCACAAGCATTCCGTGTCTACTCTATGTCAGGGATTAGGGGTAATGGAGAGAAATCGGTGTCTCTTGAGCCTTGACTGGGGCATCAGGGAGGTAATCACCACAAGGTACGATGAAGTGCCACAGAAGAGTGACTGATGTTCCAAGTTCTACAGGAACGCCAAGGAAAGAGGCACTGAGCCCAGGGGATGTGGGAGAACCTCACAGAGGTGACATCTGAGCAGAGGCCAGAAGGACAGGAAGGCCTTTTCCAGGTAGAGAAAGGAGAGGGCATAGTTGCTTAGCACACAGGCCATGCTGCTCTAAAAGAAAACAGAAAACACAAGGGCTTCAACAAGGCAGGGTCCACTTCGCTCTCATGGAAGGACAGGTGGGGTGAACAGTTCAGGCAGACGTGGTGGTGTGGGGCTGCTGGGGACCCAGAATGCCTCCATCTTGTCGCCCAGCCCGCCCTACCTGAGGATGGCTCACCACCATACCTGCACATTCTAGTCTTTGGGAAGAGGGAAAGAGGAGAAGGAGCCTAATACCTTCCACGGCTGGGAAATGTCAGCTGTAGCTGGGTGACCATGCTAATTATCCAGTTATTCTCTAAGAAAGAAGAGATGGGGTGGGGAGAGGTGTGAACAGACAGTCTGCCACATGCAAAGGCAAGGCAAAAGAGGAAAGAGCTTACATGTTTATAGATTTGTGGCATAGACAGGAGTGCAGGAGATGACTCTGGAAAGGGAGATGGGCCTGAGTGTTTTTTCAAAGGATAGGAGTATATTCTCTATGTCCTGGGAGCCCTGCAGGGTGTTGGGGTGCAGGGGGAGGTTTGCACAGATCGTGACACAAACCAGGAGCTGAGGCAGAGTGTGGTAGAGAGAGCATGTGGGCTGAGAAACAGCAGATGGTGAAGATGTTTTCCGTTACTGAACAAGGATGCAGAGCCCCGATTCTGAGCTCCAGAATCTTCTCTGCTGGGGGGAGGGAGGGGCAGGGGCTGGAGAGCAGTAACTATAATCTCTTCTCTCATTTCCTCTCCTCAGACTGTTCTGCGGATTGTGGTGCTTGGGATCTGGGATTATATTGAAAACAAAATCGAGGTAAAGGCCAGTGTACACACCCACCCCCCATGCTGGCCGTCCTGGGAGCTGGAAAATGTCCCTCCGGATGGGAGCATCAAAAAGGCCTGCTCCTTCCACACTGGATGCAGGAGTTTCTGCAGCTGTGTTGTTGGGGTTGTGGGGAGGGGGCAGGCAGACGCAAAAAGTTCCTGGCAAAGGGACGGTCTAAAAATTCTCCTCAAAATTCGGCAAGATTTAAAAAGTTTTTCTTGAATCATTTGGAAAAGCTTTGAAATGTGTCTTAAAACAAATGAGTCCACTCTAAAATGGCCCAGGGGTTAGAGAGCTGGGCCAGAAACCATCTAGGCACTTCTCAGCCTTGTTTCAGCAGAGCATCCAGCTGCTCTGCTTCGTGTAGAAGGGCCTGGTGCAGTGAGTGGGGATGAGGGGCCGAGGAAGCCTGGCTGTCGCTGGGAATTTTGTGCACTTAGAACAAGGCAAGGCGGTCAGTGTCTGCTGTCCATTCCTTCCTCGCCCACCCCCCACCCCACATCCACATTGTAGCATCTTTGGGCCTAATGCTAACAGAGGCCTGGCCCATAGAAGTCTAGATGAACCCAAGCTTGAGCAGGTAGATAGAAGGTCAGGGCCCAAGGCTGAATCACCCCATGCTGAATTGCCTATGCTGGGCCCCCTCTTCTTCTAGCCCTGCCTCCCTGTGTGGTGAGAGACTCAGCATCAGATAGAAATGAGATGTGGGCTCTGGGCTCCTGTGCTACCCAAGGGGAAGGGTCCTGTCTTCAGCTCCCACTGCCAGTGAGGGATTCAGCGAGGCTAGAACAGGAACCCTGGGACATGGAATACAGTCCCCATCGCAGGAAGGGACGAGACGCTGGGAAAAGATGCTGGGAGCAACCCCAGGCCATCAGAACAAAGGCTGGGGATGGGCTGAGGTCACTTAAGAGGAAAGAGAGTGCTCAGGAGCATGTCTAGGAGCTAGTAGGTCACTAAAGAGACTGAGGAGAGTCAGGAGAGACAGCCAGGGATAGGGGAGCCTGATGTGGGGACAGATCTCCTGGAGAAACCTGCCAGCACCAGCTGCTTTGCCTGACCTGCTTCCAGGACATTCAGGAAGGTGGCCCAAGACACTGAAATCTAATTCCTCTCACAGGTGTTTGACGGGGCTGTGATCATCCTGTCCTTAGCCCCAATGGTGGCGTCCACTGTGGCCAATGGGCCCAGGAGCCCCTGGGATGCCATCAGCCTCATTATCATGCTCCGGATCTGGCGGGTGAAGAGGGTCATTGATGGTGAGTGGTCCAAAAAGGGTCAGCAGAGCTGGCTGGGTGGCAGGTGGCTGCTACCGAACCTGGAGCTATCAACTAAGAAAGGAGAGAGACCACGTGTTACGGGATAGGGGGGAGGGATGACCCAGCCAGCCTCAGGGATTGGAGGAAGGAGACTGCTGGCTCAGGGAGACCAAGCCTGTCACTGCTCATTCCATGTCACGTGTTCGGAAACTGCACACGGTGCCCAGATGTCACATGCAAACACTTGAGCGTTCATTCCAACAGACCTATTTATTTTATGTCCCGACGGCCAGTGCCTCGCATGAGAACTTACAGCAGGGCTTGCCATTCCAGAACGCCAGTGTTGTACATCCTGAGTGTTTGGATGCACGCCTGCCACTGACTCACCACTGGCTTTGTCCAGCTGACTGGTCAAAGGGTTGCTCCCTGTGGGGCCCATCTCCCCACTGTGTCCAACAAGGGGTGCCCCACCCAAGCCTGTCGACCCACAAACAACTCGAGAGTGTTTCCAGGGAGGTGCTGGCTTGGTCTGGGTTTTGGCTTGTTTTAGTCAGTTTCAGTGACGCATGCTCCCATCTGGGCCTCCATTCCCAGAGAATGTCTGATCCACTCTGCTCTCTCCCTGCCTTCTACCTTCAGAGTCAAAGGCCACCCTTCCCACGGGGCCACCTCATTTAGAGAGCTCTGCCCTAACCCGGATGGTTCATCTATTTCCAGAAAGTGGTGACAGACCCGAGTGTGTCTCCCACCCCAAACCCCCCCCCCCCCCACAACCACCACAGGAAGGGACGCCTGGCTGAGAGAAGACTGGAGACCTCGTCCCCGAAGAACAGGACAGGGAACTAGAATGGGGTGGCCTGGGGATGGGGAAGATGGAGGAGCCAACTCCAGGTTCCAGAGGGTGGTCCTTGGACCTCGCAGAACATGACAGGGAGGCCCACCTCACCTCAGCCAGACTAGGCACAGAGCCACTGCAGATGGGCTGGTCTGCCTCTCTAGGAGGTGGGCTCCTGCGGGAGTGTGGGCAGCCTGAGCCAGGTGGTCGTGTGGAGGGGCAAGGCCCGACAAGGAGGTTGTACAAATGATGATTCCCAAGCTTTTTTTAAGTAGCAAAACCCTTTCTTCTGCAAAATCTTATGCAGCTCTCCAGTGTGAAAGATAGATTAAAAGTGGAGCGTTTTGGTTGACTCGGAGTGGGGGGCCAGAGCCCACTTCCTTGCCTCTCTTCTCCAGGGGGCATCTCTAAGGACCTTCTGAGCCTCTAGAGCAGGTTCAAACCACTGGGATACACTGTTAAGACTATAGACTGTATAGTATATAGACTCTAAGGTCACTCTGGCCCTGAATTTGGGTTGCAAATGTCGGAAATCGTGGCTATGAGAATACCCCAACAGCATTTGCCAGGCAGTGGGGGGAGGGTATGAGGCAAGAAGGACAGCCTCTGGGGTCTCTCATCCCCTGGCAGGGCACCCTCTCCCTTTCCCTGCCCCCACATCCCACCCAGTTAGCTCTGTTGGGTGTGATGTCTTGTCAGGGAGCTAGCTCCTAATCCAGAATCTTCATCAAACTGGAATGTGACTGGTCCAACTTTGGAAGGCCCAAACTGGGAAGGCGCTGAGAGGTCGTCTAGTCCATTCCTGTCACTTGACAGATGGGGAAACTGAGGCTAAGAGGGATAAGGGTCACACAGCAAAGCAGGCTGTGAGCCCGAAGTGGAGCTCAGGCCCACTGGCAACCACCAGTGTGCTCTTTGTCTGTTCACTCACCCCCATCTGCTCAGGGCGCTGTCCTTGGCTCCATTCACGAGAACATCCTTTCCCTGCAGAACAGGAACAGCGCCTTCTGGCTCTTCTCTGCCGGCCCTGAACAGCTGGACACCCTCACACTGATGGATCTGACAGCCCATTGTGAATGCTCTTCCCAGCTGCTCCCCCTTTTTCCTGACACAGCAGGCGTGGCTGTGCCACTGGGAGCCTCAGGATAGGGATGTGCTGTGTGGTTGTGGGGGTGTTAATTTGCTTCTCTCACCCTGGGTGTGAACTGGCTTCAGCAGAGATCTGAGGAGGCAGAAGCCGCTGGGGCCAGCCTCTGGAACCCACAGCCACACAGGAGACTCAAAAATCCAGCCCTTGCTCCGGGCAGCTGTGCACACGGCCAGAATGAAGTGTGCTGTCACTAGGGCAAAGGAGGAAAACGGATCTCTTGGTCACCGCGGGTTGGGGTTCTAGCCCTCTTAGACTGTCTGGGTGCTGTGGGGGGGCCTAGCATCCCTCCAACCCCCGCACTCCCTGGCTCCTCTAGGAACTGCTCCCAGACTTGAACCTGCAGCTGGCTGGCTGCTGGCACCGGCCCCTCTCCCGCCTGAGTCCCGCTACTGCCAAGTTCTTCACGGAGCTGTCTCTGTCTTCCAGCCTACGTCCTGCCGGTGAAGGTGGAGATGGAGATGGTCATCCAGCAGTACGAGAAGGCCAAGGTCATCCAAGATGAGCAGCTGGAGAGACTGACGCAGATCTGTCAGGAGCAAGGGGTAACACCCTGCCACTTCCGGTTCTGTTCAGGGCCCAGGGTCCCGGTGGTGCCCATAAAGCCACAGGAGGCCAGAACTGCAGGGCCCCCCAAGGACACATGGGGAACCTAAGGCCCAGAGAGTGGGAAACCAGTCTCTTAAGGTCACTCCTGCTCAGCCTAGCCAGGCCTGGGCTCGGCACCGACTCCTAGGTCGGGGTGCTTTTTCTTTGTACCACAGTGACCAGTCAGCTCTCCAGCCTGAGCCAGCCGAGTCACCGACTCAGTTCATCAGAGTCTTCTCGACACAGTGGTCTCTAGAGCAGGGGACAACTTCTGTCTGCAGAGGTTGCTGGGCAACACTGTGGGCCAGTCACCACCCAGGACCCCCAGACACCCCCAAAGAGGTGTTAATAGTTCTCTGTGCTTCCCAGGAGCTGTGGGGAAGACAGAGAGGTGACAGGCCCCATGAGGCCATGCTCAGCAGAGCCAAGGGGGCGGGCAGCTGGGTCCTGCAGCAAGGCTACAAAGCTCTGTAGAAACACAGCCTCCAGGGAACGAATGATCTGGTACCCGGTATGCAAGGTGGGAATGCCATAGAGGGGACCAGCTAGCAAGGTGGTAGAAAGTGTGGAGGAGAATAGACGAACTGACATATATGGTCATTCTGGCTTTTCCGTTGCATTCTGGGGAAACAACAGGGCCACTGCCCTTTGCTCTATGAGCCACATAAGCTATGCCCCCCACCCTTAGTCCCCAGGGCCAATCCAGGCATAGTATGCCCCAGCTACTTATCCCGTGTGGGGCTCAGCACTCTGGCTTGCAGTGCAGTGGGGCTGGACACCCGTCGGTCCCTCCCCCTGCCCCACTGCCAAGCACCTGGGCACTCCCCATGGGGTCTGAGGGCCGCACGCGTCTGCCTAGCTTGTCAACGTCATACCTCCTTCATCTCGTACATAAACACTCTGACCGAGTCAGATGGAGTCACCTGCCCTTCTGACAAGCCCCGTGCCATCCCATCCCTTCGTTCTGGTTGTGCTGTGCCCTTTGCCTGAACCCTTGCCAGCCCTGCCTAACTAATTTGTGTGCAGCCTGCAAGTCCTGGCTTTTCCACTAAACACGGCACTCCCCTCCCACAGCAGTCGCTGCTCCCTTACTCCCCAGCCCTTCTGTGGGCCTCCACAGAGCACTGGGCACTCACTGCCGTGGGCTCTGGTTACCTGCACGCGGGACTGCTTCTCCTGCTGAATGCGATGCTCCCCCAGGGCAGGCCTCGTCTGACTCACATTTGCCTGCAGCCCAGCGCCCATTCGTGGTGGGTCTCCTGGCTCCTCCACCCCAACCTCTCCTAGTTGGAGGAAGAGCTGGAGGGAGTGGGAAACCTGTGGAATGTCAGCACAAATTAATCCCTAGAAATGTCCCACAGGAACAGGCACACAGAGTCTTCAAAATCATCTCCTTGGAATGTCTGTCAGGGAGCCAGGTCTTTTTATCTACTTTGGGAACACCATGGCCTTTCATTTTAGCACAACATGCTTATGAGTGACAAGAGGGGACATCAGGGGACACAGCCCTCAGGAGCACATCATCCGTGGGATCCTGGGTGTGGGGCAGTCTTTACAGGATTGTGGACCTGGGAAGACCAGTGTTCTAGTCCCAAAGTGGCTAGCATCAGCTTCATTCTCCCCTGTGCATCTGGTCCACCAGCACCATCCCAACCTGTGCTGGGCACTGGGGGCACTGCCGTGGAGAGGATTTGGCCCCTACCCCCAGGAGGCTCTGGGTGACTCGAGTCTGGCAGGCCCATAAATAAACAGGGGCAGTCTGGTGCATGCATGTTTCAGCAGGGACAAGTCTGGGGTTCTGCACGCCAGGGCTCGGGGGCAGGGGAGTGGATGGGTTTCTAGAGGAGCCGACATTGGGCAGGGCCACTTGGAGAAGGGTGCCTGGCAGAGGGGACAGGTGAGGCATTAGAGTGGGTGTCGTACCAGGGGAGCTCAAGGCCATTCAGGGTATGAGCAGAGAGAGGAGGTAGGAGGATCTGGAGGCAGGCTTGGGAAAGGCCTACGTGGCTGACCAGGGAATTTAGGCTCCACCCTGTAGGGAAGGGGGAGGCCTGGGGGTATTAGAAGCAGGGGTGGGAGGTCTGCTCAGGTTGGAGTTTTTGATGGATCTCTCTGGCAGCTGTTGGAGGCAGGATGGGCAAGGGCAAGGAATGGAGATAGAAAGCCTGGGTTGAGAGGCTGTTGTAACCAACCAGGGGAGAGAGGCCTAGGTTTGGGGCAGACAGAGGTCTAGAGGAAGAGGGGAGAGGACAGATCTGGGTGTCATCCAGGACCTGGCTGGAGCTTGGTCAGGCAGCTCTCAGTCTACTGTCTAATAGGAAAATGAACACCACGGGGCTGCGGTTGGCCATGTGACAGACACCGACAGGGTGCCACATCTGCCCTTCATAAACTCTCACACAGCCTCCCAGCCCGGCAGAGAACAAGCTGACCCTACTGCATGCCCCACAGTAACAGCGTATGGGCCACGGGGCTGAGAGAAAACCCTAATGGCAACCCCACCCCCAGTGCTTTCCATCAGGAACCCCCGTCCTGAGCCCACAGAGACCCCACATGTGGCCTCCTTGCCAGGGGTCCTGGCCAGAGGGAGACTCCCTTGGATTCTGCACAGGAAAGAGCTAATAAATAAAGACAGATTCCCTCTAGGTAGCGACATCTGGAAAAGAGATGAACAGAAACAAACCATTTTAATTTAAAAAACACCTGAAGCCTGTCATCTTAGTTGAGACAGCAAAAAGGGCCAGCTGGGCTGGAATCCCAGCGGGCCACAGGGAAGGCGGGGGGGGGGGGGGACCGGTAAGAGCAGAGAAACCAGGACTGCTGCTCTCCCAAAGCTGAGTGATGCCCACTCCACGGGGTGGGGCACGTGGACGCCTCATTTTCAGCTCTGTTTTAGGACCAGGTTTGAGACTTGACTGGGTCACAAATATCCTTAAAAAAAAATGAGAGTGCCGGCTCATTACACATCAGGGATAGCCAAATGCTTTGAGAGAGTAGTGTCTAGAACGGTTAAGAATAGACTTTAGGGACAGACCTGAGTGCAAAGCCAGCCTGGCCACTTATGGGCCTTGTGGCTTTGCTTACTGAGGGGACCTGCATGGCCCTTGATTTTCCTAATATGAAAAAGAGGAATAGTAATAAAATCCTTGAAGGATGGTTGTGAGATGGTGTAGCCTAAAGCCTAACCCATGATGAATGGTGACTATGCGAGCCCATCCCCTCTCCCCCACATAGACCCATTTATTTTATAGATAAGATGACAGAGCAGTGGGTGACTTGCCCGAGAGCTCACGGCTAGTTGAGGGCTTTTAGAGCCAGGAATAGACCCAGCTGTCCTAATGGAACACTGTTCTTTCCCAGCCCACCTTGCTTAGGGTCATTTTTCTACCCATGTCACTTCTCGGCTCTTGGTGGAGACATTGGCCAGATAAGGCGCCAGGGTATCTTTAAACCAGAGCCTGCGTGCAGCTCAGCTGTCTCAGTGGCATTTCCAAAGAGTCCCTTGCTGCTACCCACCTCCCTGCCACCCCCGACCCCCCTTCAGGTCATTCTAGTCCTCTTTGTCAAAAACTCTTGCTCTCTCTCTGCCTGCTGGAATTCTCAGTTTAATAAAGCAATCTCCACTCTAATTCATATGTGCTACCTAAAACACTGAAATTTACCAAAGTTCCCATGAAACGTGTAGAATCTCAGTTTAAATGAAACAGTCAATTTGCATTCATCCCGCTCTCTCCCTGAGATATATCTGTATAAATAGTTCCCAAGATTTTATTCATCTTAGCTCTTTTTTTAAATAAACTTTATTTTTTAGAACGGTTTCAGATATATAGAAGAGTGGTAAAGATGGTACAGAGTTCCCACATACCCCATACCCAATTTCCCCTGTTAACATCTCACATTAGTATTGTGTGTTTGTTACAATTAATGAATCAATATTGGTATGTTATTATTAAAGTCCATACATTTTTCCGATTTCCTTAGTTTTTAGCTAATGTCCTTGATCTGTTCCAGGATCCCATTCAGGACACTGCATTACATATGGTTATCATATCTCTTTAGGCTCCTCCTGGCTATAAAAGTTCCTCAGACTTCCTTTGTTTTTGATGACATTGACCATTTGGAGTACCGGGCAGGTATTGCGTAGGATGCCCCGTGACTGGGATTTGTCTGATGTTTTTCTCATGATTAGACTGGAGTTACGGGTTTTGGCAAGGAAGATCATCACATCACATCACATCACATCACATCACATCACATCACATCACATCACATCACATCGAGGGTGCCTACTATCAACATGACTTCTCACCGCTGATGTTGACCTCACCTGGCTGAGGTAGCGTTTGTCAGATCTCTGCTCTGTAAAGTCACTCTGTTTTATTCATCTTAGCTTTTTTAGAAAGCTTAAATTGCTTGTTGCTGTGACCCTGTAGAGACTCCCGGGTGACACAGTTTGCTGGTTTCTTGCCTGAATATCTTGTACAGTTGATCTTTTGCGCCCCGTGGTAGCTCCTTTCTTACCACAGGCACACCCAACATGCCCCAGGACCACTGTATGTTATAAATGAAAGGGTCTTTAGAGGGCATCTGGCCCAATCCTAGATTCGGCAGATGGGGGTGCTCTGAGGCACAGAGAAGGGGAGAGGTGTGCCCAACATCACACAGCAGTTAGGAGATGAGGATGGAAACAGGGGTCTCTTAGGGCTCATTGCAGTGCTTCCCCCCTGGACCACACTGGCCTCTGGTCTTTGCAGGGAGACAGGATACAGTGTTTCCCTCATTTTCATCATCTCTTCTGACCCCTGGGCTCACCTCATCCTTAGCAGATTCCTCCTGGAAATCTGGGGCCAACAGAGAAGGAGGATGCTCTGTTGGGCAGTCTTACCTTTCCGAAGCCCTGGCTGGCCTTCGGTGGTCTGCTTCCAGATTGCTCACTTCTGCAACAGAAGCAGATAGCCTCAGACCCTCTGCGGAAAGTTCCTCCCCATTCACTTGTGTTTTGCTCTCTGTCTGGATCCTGGCCAGATTTTCTTAGGCATTAATCTTGCTGGTACACAGATGGATTCCAGAGGTGGGATGCTAGTTACTGTCCTCCAGAGAGATGGTGTTCAAAATTTAAACTGTTTCAAAATTAAAAATTAAAACTTCAAAAATTAAAACTGTTTTAGATGCAGTGGTTAAGTCACTGCAATGATCTATTCTTCCAACTCATCTTAAGAAACCACTCCTGAGGTTTTATGTACAGCTGTGTGCAGGATCTAGCTCGAATTTTGAAACATATTCTGAAGTCCCTGTAAGCTTTGCCTTTGGCCTAGAGTTAATAGGATCCAACTTGGCCCACTGTCAAAATGTATTTCTCTTCTCTGCTGGGTCCTGTGGGAAGGATGGAAGGAAGTTAATTTCTCTTTCCTCAGTACCATTCACCCTGAGACCATTAGCAAAAACCCAGGTATCTAGGGTGACTTGAGGCCCAGCCTGCAAAGGAGGCCCATGAAGCTCTGTGAACCCCTTAGGACAGCCTCAGGCCTTGGGCCAGCATCAGTCCCTGAATAAGGAGTCCTCCGTGGGGGCAGCCCAGAGGGGTGGAGGGAGTCCGCTTAGACGAGGAGCCAACAAGCGAGATTCTAACCTCCACTCCAACAATGACTAGTCTCCCCCTTAATCCCTGGACCTTGTTGGGAAAATGGAGGAAACAAGGCTTATGTCACGAGGATGCTGTAAGGATCAGACTAATTCAAGTAACATATATGAAGTCTAGTCTGGAGTCTTTCAGTAAATGTAAAAAAAAAAAAAAAAAGGAAAGAGAAAGTAATACTAAATCACTCATATAATGGTGACCACTTAACAAATGCACTCTCATGTATTTTAGCTTCCTTTAACCTTATGGTCAGAGCGGGTAGGCTAGGTCTTATTAACCCCTTTATAGATGGAAAGACAACAGCTGAGAGAGGCCGTTGCTTGCCAGGGTGGCAGTTTGTGGTGCAAGGGCTGGGGGTGGAACTCGGCGGCAGGGTCTGTTTCCCTATGCCAGAAACAGGATGTCTGGACAAGTCACTGTCAGGAGTAACACAAGCTGCTACATGAAACAAATCCAGAGCTCGCAGTGGCCTAACACAAGAAGAGTTTGTCACTCACATCACAGCCCAGAGCAGGTTGCTGTGGGCAGTGGGTGACGAGCCACCATTCCCCAGTCACTCTGGCCTCCAGGCGCCTCCCATTTTCTAGCTGCTGCCTCTAAGTCCTCGGGGCTTTCTCCCTTCAACAGGGGAGAAGTAGAGAATTGTGCAGTTAGCCAGGCTTCTGCCCCGTTTCGTAAGTGGGACTCACTTACGCCGTCACACTTGAGGCACCTGACGCATACTGAAGTGGTCTGTGTGCCCAAGAACATTCTCTGCCCCTTTCCCTAGTCCCACGGGCACAGTCACATTCAGTAATCCTCCCTGGGTGATGCAAGTCTCCCCGGCCCTTTTCTGGGAGAAACTGGATGATAATCTTGACCTCAAGCAACAGGCTTTTCCGGTGGCAGTCGGCAGTGTGGGGAGGGGCGGCGTCCTGCTCCTCCCCCTCCATCCATCCTACTTTCCTGTGCAGGGGGTCGAAGCCCACTTGTTAGGTGGTGGGAGGTGACCTGGGGGCCTTGCTCTGCACCCACAGCGCCCTGGTGCTCAGCACCCCTGAGAGAAGGCCGATGGCTACACAAATTCTCACCTTTGAGGCTGGGCCGCCAGCCCTGAGAAGGGCCTCTGTGGCCATCAGGAGATGGGAAACCACAGAAAAGGGGTCCTACCCTGGTTCTGGGGCTGGTGCTTGATGCTGGCTCATTCCAGAGAGTCCCCTCTTTTCCTGCAGAGCCCACAAGTCCCCAGCTCAGCACAATCGCCTTTGTTACCTGGATTATTCAAGATCTCCACTGTGGGAAAGGAAGTGTGTGTGTGTGTGTGTGTGTGTGTGTGTGTGTGTTTAAGCATGGGAAGTGATTTGTAAAACAGCAGATAGCTTTAATGACAAGCCTATTTAGCTGATAAAATTAGCCATCAGAGGAATAACTTATGTTATCCTTTTGCCATAATTTAAATTTATGGCCAACTACCAGTCATCTTCACAATGGATGGAAAGGGGCCAAGGTCGAATTCAGCCTCCCCCACTGCTAACTCATTAGTTTGCAAACTGTCTCCTGATTTTTATTGTTACCAACAATGGCAAAACTAATGGAAATAAACATTGGATGCCATCCAAATAGCAGATAGGTTTAAAGGCAGGGCAGGCTGTGCAGACAGCACTAATAGGATGGAAGAAAATTACTGCTGTTGCATTAGGATGCCATTGAGCTTCTGGCCAGAATGTGCATTGATCAGGCCAAAGCCATGTCAAGCGTACTCCACAAACCAGACCGTTAAAGGCAGAGATGGACTGGGTGGGCCGGCCCTGCAGCCCCAGGGGTCTGGCCCCACCGAGCAGGCACTAAAAGCCCAGCCCCAATGGAAGGGGCCTGACTCACTCTGTAATGCATGCTGAGGACTTCCCTGTGGATCCTGGCCAATCTGCTCAGGTTATCTGATAGAAATACTTAGCTAATGATGCGCGTTAAGAAGGGCTGTGACTACACTTTCATTTTTCCTGAGTCTCGGGATGGTCTTTATTTCCCCAGGCCAGTGTGCCAATGGAAAATATGCTTCATTTTGTCCTCAAAGCCCCCATGTGCCTTCAGCCCTGGAGGCCCACGCAAGCCCTGGAGAGCCTGAGTGTTTCTTCTTACCTGTTTTCATCAGTTTGACTGCAGAGGGTCCAGGGGTGGGGTTTTGTATTTATCCTGTTTAGGATTCTGAGTTTCTTGAATTTGTGGATTGATGTTTTTCATTAGATTTGGAAAGTTCTTGGCCACGGTTTGTTGACTGATTGCTTCTGTCTTCATCCTTTCATCCTCCTTCTGGAGCTGTGGTTGCATGTTAGGCCCTTGGATCATGTCTCCCATCTTAGACCCTCTTCCATTCACTCACTCTCCCCCCTGCCTTTTTTTTTTTTCCTTTTCTGGCCATAAGTTTAGATGTTTTTCTATAGACGTATCCTCAAGTTCAACAGTCTTATCTTCTACTATGTCCAGTCTGCTGCTAAATCCATCCAGTGGAATACCCAATTTCAGACATTGCATGTTGAGTGAGGTTCTAGAAGTTCTATTGGATTCCTCTTATAGTTTCTGTTTCTCTGCTGAAATGCTACATCCATTCTGTTTATCTTTCCCCCACTTTAACATATTAATCACAGTTATTTTGAAGTTCTTATCTGCTAACTCAAATAGAACATAGGTCCGCTTCAGTGGGAATTCTAAGCAGCCTCTGAACTGCTTTATGTCTTGATAATCTATCACCTTTTTTGCTTATTTGCATGACTAGTAATTCTTATTGTGTGCTACACACTGTTGATAATGTGTTTTAGAGATTCTGGATTATGTTATCTTTCTGTAAAGAGCCGGCCCTCTGGAAATGGGGCATTTCATCAAGGAGCAGGGGGTGGCCCTCAAAACAGGAGCTACCTGTCATTTGTACTTTATTCCCTCCCAGCGGGGGTCCCAGAGCCAGCACGGAGCTTGTCGTAGACTCAGAGTTCAGCTGGTCCATTTGCCTTATTGAACACAGTAAAACTGATGCCCAGAGAGGAAAAGAGACTCACCACAAGTCAGAGTGAGGGAGGGTGATGGGCCCAGAACTCAGGCTCCTGCCTCCTCCAGCCCTTGCTTTTTTCCCACTTGGGAACCTCCTGCTCCTTCCCGGCCCCTGTAACCATCAAGCCCTCTGTATTCTGCTTGAGCTCAGTCTCTTCCATCTCGCCCCTAAGGCTTCCCCTTGACACAAAGTCTGTGAAGCTAGAGGCCAGAGGCCTGGGTTGCAGGCCTGGCTTTGCTTTTGATGCATCCTGTAGCCTTAGCTTTTCCCTACCCTGTCTGCAGGACAGAGGCTCCTTCCCACCCTAGAGCCCCAGCTCACCCACTGACTAATGAGGTCCTGATAGCTCAGGACCCCCGACAGCCCCTCAGTTAGCTGGGGAAGCACACATGGCCCTGTTCAGTATGGGGGAAGCAGCAACCAGGCTCTGAGGGTCCCAGGGTCCTGCCAGCCCCCTGGAGCTGAGCTGGGCTGAGCTATCTGCAGTTCCCCTATAAGGAATCCATCATTCCTTCTCAGGGCAAGGGCCGAGAGCATCCAGCCACCCACACCCTCTGAAGCTTGTGAACTTATATCCCTCTCCTTCACCCATTCCATTCATGCCCATGCCCACACTTTGACCTCCTAAATAGCTCCCTTACCTCCTGTCTCCACTGTCCCCAACCTCGTCCAAATTCTGGTCATCAGGTCTGGGTTGCAGAAGTAGCATCTTGGCTGCCACTCCCGCCTCCACCCTGGCCCATCTCTGTCCAATCCTCCGTTCTGCTGCCAGCACCATCCTCCTAGAGTGCTCGTCTGAATCACCGCAACACCTCCTCCAACACTCTGCTTTTCTGCTCGAAAGATTTCAGTGGTTTCTTGTTGCTTTTTTTTAAAAGGCTGACATCCTTGTAACATCTTACCGGGGCTAACAGGCTCTGCCTGGTGTGGCCCCTGCTGATCTCCCCAGCCTCTCTCACCCCCCAGCCCCCTGTCTCGCAGACACACCATGGTCAGCCCTTGAGACTGTCATGGGAGATTTGCTGCGATGCAGCAGACACTGCCCCCCTCGCTTGGGGCCACTGAGGACTCACTTCCAAGCTGGGAGAGGCATTTCCATTCTAAAACACGTAACAGTTTGAACATAGCCCTCACCATGCTTTACCTGAGTAAGTGAATGAATGCATGCCTGCCTAGGAGAATTCCCATACACTTGGGGTTCATATCTCTAGCCTAAAACTTGTCTTAATGTATGTGCCCATGTCTGCACATGTGGGCTTGGGCTAGGCAAGCCCCGGCCTCTGGCTGTCTGGCCTGAATTCCAGTGGGACACTCAGGGGTAGCTCTGGATCAATTACAAGTTATCAATAATGCATCTGTTCAGAGTGGCCTAGGAGGCCATTAGATGGGCCTACTGGCCCTGATGAGCAGCCTTGGAGAAAGTGGGCTACGTATGCCCATGGGAAGTTCAGATCAGCCTGGGCAAGAGGAGCTCAGGAGGTTGCCTCATAGGCCCTATGTGACCTCTGAGAACTTGCTGCCAGAGGGGTGGCTTGAACTCTCTCCCCATGCACAGAAGTCCACCCTATAGTAAGCCAGCCTCACTTTCTCAGCCTCTGCAAACGATAGACCCATTTAAGTACTGGGTTGTTGAGGTCCAGAGTCTGAGCCTAGACCGAGAGCAGAGTCATGGCTCAGTGTATGATCAGGCTTGGGACTCAGTGTGTGAGCAGGTGTAGGGCTCAGAGTAACTATGGCTGGGGCTCAGTATGTGACCATGGTCAGAGCTTAGTGTGTGAGCAGGGTCAGGGCTTACACTTTGTCTCAGCTTTGGGCTAGGATTGGGGCTCAGCCTGAAACCACAGAATTGAGCAAAGCTGAATAGTTTCATTCATTCATTTATTCAACAATATTTATTGAGGGCCTTCTCTATACCAGGCAGCAAAACAGACAAGATCCCTGCTCTGACAGAGACTATATTTTATTAAGGGGTGAAGGGTAGCAGTGGTGGGCTGGAGCTCTCGCTCCGGAGAGCCAATTAAGGACACCTCTTCCCAGTTCTCCATGACACTGTGTTGGTAGTTTGAAATTGGCCATGGTGGAGTATTTGCACCACAGAGGTTAGCATAAACTACTCATTGGGGCTTTTTTTTTTTTTCTTTTAACCAGCATACTATCACTGCAGTGAGAGAGAGGGAAAACCGATAGGCAGTTCTTAAAATGGTGGAGTGACCACACATATTTATCTGATCTCCTTTCCCAAACTCCACTAAAATGATAATTTAAAAACCATGAACACATAAGAATTAAGAAAGTGTCTCTTTAAGGCCTGTCCATAACGTCAAAGAGGATAGAGATTTCAGTGGATTTGAAGAAAATGAACAGCGGATGAGAAAGGGGTAACCGATCTACTGGAGTGGAGAATTTATAACTAAAGTGCTTGCGGAGGATAGTGAGGGAAATGGGTTAATTCTCCCCTCAGAACCCCTGAGAGTTTGGGAGAAAGCGGGTGAATGGGAAGCTGACCAAAGGGAGAGGGGTTGACTAAATGCCTGTACACACAATATTTGAGCCCCCTAGGTCCCCTCCCAATCCTGCACAGCCAGGAGACCACACCCGCCCCCACCCTGCAAGAATCATAGAGGTTTGTTCTCTGGAGAAACTGAACCAGAGGGCTCTGCAAGTGGGCCCTGGGTTAGGCAGGGCTGAAACCAAGGATTCATTGAAAATCCTTCCATGTAATGGTGGGACCCTCTACACCATCCCCCTGCCCTGCTCCCACACAGAGGCAGCCAGAGGCTGATGAGCTCTCTGAAAAACTGAGTGGTTTTTCACTCAGAGACAAAGTCTGTGGACACTGACATTGGGAGGTTGCCCCGATGTCAGTCTGCTGCCTGGCGTCCCTAATGTTAGTGAATGCTTTAATTGTGCATTTCACTGATGCCAAAAGAAAAATATTAAAATAGATTTTAAAATATCAGAAGGTGATAAGTACAATGCAGAGAATTCAAACAGGCTGGTGTGACAAAATACCTGGGTGGCTGCCTTGGGTGGGGTGTCAGGTCTGAGATAGGCAGGGTCAGACCATGCACTGCTTTGTAAGTCAAGGGTAAAGAGTTGGGTTTTCTCCCAACGGTCCTCAGTTGTCACAAGGGGGGGTGACATGATCTGATCTAGGTTTGTGAGAATCCCTGTGATTCCTATTGGGGGGATAGATTTAGTAAAAGGCTGTAGAAGTTGGAGTTGCCAAGGTGGTGGAGGTGGAGGGGGTAGACAGGCTTGGGATAGCACTTGGAGGTGGAGTTGGACTTGGGGACAGATTGGATGGTGGGGGAGGGAAAGCAAGGAAGCAAAGGAGGTGATTACATTTTTGGCTCCAGCTAAGATGAGATGGAACCACCTGAGGAGCAAGTTTTTAGATACAGTGAAGAGTCCTATTCTGACCAGGTCGTTTTTGTGATTCCTGTAAGCCAATTCCGTGTTGCTGTCAAGTAGGAGTTGGAGATGTGAAGCTAACTTTACAGGGAGGGGTCAGGGCTGGTCACTGAGCATCATGGGGAAGTAGGTAATCTAGGTAGGGATCCCAGGCACTGGGCCTCCCTGGGACCACACCCGCCCCCCCTTCAGGCCTTTGGGGGTTTGCCGGCAGGTTGTGCACAGCGATGCAATGTGTGCTTGGGGCACTAGGTGGCAGTGAAAGCTCTCCTTACCTGAGCCCACAGCCAGGCCCTTCAAGGTCAGACCCAAACTTTGTCTTGGCCCAGATGGCCCAGAAAGGTCCGAGTGTAAACAGCTATTTCAGCCACGAACCCAAGAGGCATCTGGGAACCTCTTTAAAGAGCTTTTCCCAACAACAACAAAATTAACCAAAATCAAAATGTGTGCAGCGTTTTACAAAGCCTTTATTTAGCACTCAAGTCCTCAAAGAGATCCAGGGGGCTGAGAACCCCTATGATACAGATAAGGGAACCGAGGCCACACGGCCAGAAAGCTACAGAGCGGGGGCTAGAGCCCAGTCCTTTCTGAACACCTCCTAGAAGAGGAGTGTGGGTGTTGCTGGAAGACAAATGGATGGTGGACAGACAGCCCAGCGAGCACATGATGCCAGGATGGGCTCCCAAGGCTGGTTAGGCTGGTCCTGGATGTTCCCGGGCATGCGGTCTTCCACTCAGCATCAGTATAAGACACCTAAATAAGGCTTTCACTTTGACAAGCACCACCTGGGTCGCACATTTAGGCAAGGAACTAGATAGAACAAGATTCAAACCCGGGTTTTTCGACACCCCCCCCCCCCCCCCCCGCCCTTCAGTACCCTTCCCACAGACCACAGCTGTGTTTCCTCTCAGGGCCATCTTGTCTTCCCAATGCGGCCAGACTACAGTATTCCAGAAATGAGACACAGGAATACACCTTATTGCTTGGAAAAGGCTCCAGAAAAGTCCAAAGCTCTGGCGATAGGTGTCGTTAGAGATTTGTAAGGACCTCCCCACCCACACCCTGCGGACGCTTAGCGCACGCCTCCCGCCCCCACCCCGGGTCCCAGGGCTCAGGCTCGGCCCGGCACGCCCCGACCGCCCACGGCCCCTCTCCTCTTGCAGTTTGAGATCCGGCAGCTGCGGGCGCACCTGGCGCAGCAGGACCTGGACCTGGCTGCGGAGCGCGAGGCGGCGCTGCAGGCCCCTCACGTGCTCAGCCAGCCGCGCAGCCGCTACAAGGTGGTGGAGGCCGGCACGTGGGCCGAGGAGACGGCCACCGAGAGCGTCGTGGAGGAGCTGCAGCCCTCGCCAGGTGAGCCCGCCCGCCGCCCCCGCCATTCCCGGCCTGCCCCCGCCCGGGGCTCTGCGTCCAGCTGCCTGCCTGCGGGCGCGTGTCCCGGCGGGCCTGGGGCGGGCCGGGGCTCAGATCGGGGGACCCCCACGACGACCTTTGTGAGCCCGGGAGCAAGCGTTTAGCCAAGATACCTTGACCCAAACTGGAAATGAGCCTAGTGACTTGTACCCATTTCATGCCTGTGGGCCGCCGGCGTGCTTTGCGTGCGTTATCTCCCCGGTCCTCAGAGCAATAGGAAGTATGACTTTCCTATTTTGTGGATGAAATAAAAGTCGTACAAAGGCGCATCACTAATAAATGGCAGAGCTAGGCTTCAAGCCAGAGACCTGAGATTCTTACTGCCCTGCCTGTAAGGGCCCGGATAGTAAGTCCAGGCCTAGGGCCAGTACAGCCCCGAACCTAAGTCTTGGCGCTGGTAGCAAATTGATGGACAGGTGATGTTGGTGGAGATGGGAGCATGGGGCCTGATCCGGGGCAGAGTGCTGTATAGAAGGCCAGCGGTGTCACCTTGGACAGGGGACTTAACCCTCTGAGCCTTGGTTTTGCTAGCTAACAAATGGGAACAATGCAGAGCCTTTCTCACAGGGTTGTTGGGAGGCTCAGGGAAGTGGGTACAAGTGGCCTCCGGAGCTGCAGAACAGTCCCACAGATGTCAGGGGGTATTGTTTTGTCATGGGGTGAAAATACCCTCACCTATGTCAGGTTTGGGCCTTCGCAGGATTTCGGGAAGCTGTGTTCTAATGGGCTCAGGCCAGGGATCTACCTCAGCACAGGGGTGATCTGCGCCCACCTTAGGGCCCCAAGGGGTCCTGGGAGCTCCCAACACAGACCCCCTTCCCCGCCAGGTGCCTTTCCTGTTCATGTCTGAGTCCTCCCTGTCCTAACTTGCACCTGAAAATGTCATTGCTAAAATGATGGGTAAGGGGTTATTTCACTTTACCAAGAAATTCTTTTAAATATTGACCTCCCCTAATAATTCAGAGTAATTCATCTTCACGCTTTTTACCTAAAGGTAAGGGAATGAAAGTTTATCAAATCCCTCCAAGGGAAGTTTTTATAGTTGGACCTGGTTTAATCCTCACACCTCCTTTGTCTCCTATGGAGCCAGAAACTCAGACCCAAAGAGGTCAAGAGAATTTCACAGGGTCACACACTGGAAATGGTGGTGCTGGGCTTGGAACCCAGGCTGTGGGACCCTAAACCCCAGCTTGATCGAGGGCCCCTTCACCTTGCCGTGCCATGTTCCCTTTGCCAGGACAGCCAGGCGGGGCTGGGCGGTTGGGAGGTGGGAGGCCAGAGCCCCGGACTCTGCTACTCCCCAGCTCTATGACTTGAGGCTTAGTGTTCCCTTCTATAAAGGGAAACTCCAGCTCTGTCTGCCTCTTAGGAAATACGAGGAGCTGATGGAGTGAGAAAGCTCTGGAGTAAGGCACTGTGAACAGCTTTTGTGGAGTGGGGTGATTGCACTTATGATCTTCTGAGAGACCTACAGATCTCAGAACTGTAGAATTTGGGGGCTAGGAGAGACTTCTCTGAGTCCAACTGATGTGCTAATCCCATCTAAAACTCTTGCTGGCCTCAGCTTACCTTTAACAGTAGGTGCTCCCAGCCTCCCAGAGAAGCCCACACCAACCCGACTTCAAATGGCTCTGCCTATTAGAAAGTAATTCTTCAGGGGCGCCTGGGTGGCTCAGTCAGTTAAGCATCTGCCTTTGGCTCAGGGTCCTGGGATTGAGCCCCACAGCCGGCAGGCTCCCTGCTCAGCGGGGAGTCTGCTTCTCCCTCTCCCTGTGTCCCTCCCCGCCATTCATGCACGCACTCTCACTCACTCTCTCATAAATAAAATCTTTAAAAAAAAAATGTAATTCTTCAGACTGAGCTGAGGTCTGCCCCGGGGTACCTGCCTCTCCCACTTGGCTGCAGTTTTTATGCATTGGTGAAAGGCATCCTTTCTTTTTTTTTTTATTGAGGTATATTTGACATACAATGTTATACTGAAGTGTCCTTTTGGAGATTGGCCTCTAAGTGTTTTCTCCTCCAGGGACTGTCACTGCGTTTCCACACCAGTCCTCAGGGGAGGAGCTCTCCAGATTCTTGCTGTATTGTCCCTCCTTGAACATTCCAATGTTTTGGTTCCTCTTGGAGTGACATCCAAAACAAAACGCAGTTCTTGGGGAGCTGCAAGACAAGGGTGGAGTGCTAAGAGGCCACCCCTGCTTTTTTGTTCTGAATCTAAGACCCCTTAGATGTGGCTAGAAGGCTCCTGAGCCTTCTAGTGGCTGCCCGGCCTGAGCTCACAGCTGACCCAGGCCCACTGTTCCCCACATGGGCCCCCGCAGCCCATCCCTAGGCAGTGGCTTTTTGCCCCAACCATGCAGCACTTTACAACTATCTGCGTTGGACTGTAGCTTGGATTCCTCCCCAGTTTAATACCTTGGCTGGTGGCTGCTAGGGCTGCCGCAGCAAGCCAGGGGCTTAAACGTCAGTTTACGGTCGCACAGCTCTGGAGGGTGGAAGTCTGAGATCAAGGTCTTGGCAGGGTTGGCTCCTCCTGAGGGCTGTGAGGGCCTCTCTACTAGCTTCTGGTGGTTTGCTCGTAATGCTTGGCATTCCTTGGCGCCCTCTCCACCTGGCATTCTCCCTGTGTGTCTGTGTTCACATTTCCTTGTTTATAAAGACCCCAGGCATCCTGAGCTAGGGGCCCACCCCACTCCAGTATGACCTCACCTTAACCAGTGACTTCTACAACCTCACTGCCACATGAGATTCCATTCTGAGGTCCTGGGGGTTAGGGCAACGGATACGTTTGGGGGACACACAATGATTCCCCCTCTAACAGGTGGCATATAGACCCTTGACGCTCTCGCTTCCGCAGCCTCACTCCTCCCACTCTTTTCACCTTCCCTCAGGCGGGTGAAACATCTAGTTCTGTGAGTGTTTTGTGCAGCTGTAGGTCTTAGAGCTTTTCCACACGCTGTGCATTGGCAGGCCAGGCCTGCCTGCCATACTTCTCTTCCTCCTTAAAACCCATCTCTGAGTGAGCTCCCAGCCACCACTCTCTCCTCTCTAGACCTGACCGGAACTGCCGCGAGGCCCCAGTCAGTCGTGCCGTGGGGCCGCTGGGCCGTGAGCGTTTACATGTATGTCCCCACAAGGGCCGCCGAAGCCTGGCCCTCAGCAGGCTCCCCCTAGAGCTTGTTGCGTGAAATGTTATCTGCAAGCCCGCAGCTGATTAAAGAACGAGACGAGGCTTGCGGATACCATGTGTTCTCGTGTGGGTCCCTGCAGCCCTCTGAGCGCAGGCCCATGTGGCAACAGTCCACTCCAGAAACCCCTCTTGACTTTCAGCTCCCCAGGCTGGTGTTTGTGGAGTCCAAAATACAAGAATATAATAAAAGAATATTCTTTTTGGGAAAGCTCTCTGGAAGTCAGCAGCTTTTGCCCACTTGTCTTACTTCCCAAGGATGGGAGGGACAGTGTCCCTCCCAGGAGCTTCCTCCCTGATCAGGCAGAGGGAGCTGAGGGGATGCTGCTGGGCAGCTTCTTGCTCTGCCCGCGGAGGTGGGGGGGCTCCTTGTCGCTCGCAGTCCATCTGGAGGCTGCAGCTCGCCTGGGGCTTGGGCCTGCTTGGTTCTGTTCTCTTTTCGTGTGTGCTCACCTGTAAACACCTGTGCTCAGATGAGCACTTCCAGAACAGCCCATGTTCTGTAGCACCTCTCTCATCAGGATCCTCAGCTCTCAAGATAACAGCGTGGCCATTATTACTGCCCCTCAGCCAGTGACCTCCAGACCCTCGACACCTGATGCCCCATTTGGGCCCACAGGGAGTCAAGATCTGGGTTTGGAGAGTCTGCAAACTAAGCCTTTAAAATAATCCCACATGTTCTAGGAGTTCCTGCCTCTCCACTCCCTCCCTCTGCTGTCCCCATAGTGAGCAACTTCCAGGAGGGAAAGCAGGGAGGTGGAGTAAGAAGGGAGAAAGCTGGGTCACACATGAAGCCCACTCAGGGTGAATTTGACCAGCTGTGCGTCACCAGCCAGCATGTCCTGGGGTCTGTGCTGACCCTCCTGGAGACTGGGTGCTGGGCGGGGAGGGTGTCTGAACAAGGCACTCAGGCCTCCCAGAGAGATGCCAAACATGCCCCTCTGGGAGCAGCTGCAAACGCTCCTCCCTTCTAGTCCTGGACCCCCACCCTGCCCTCCGTTATCTCTCCTGTGACACCCCCACCGCCCCCCTCTCTAGATGCACAGCTGCCCTACTCCTGCCCCGGTCCGTGCCGCCTGCCCAGTACATTCCCCCACGCGCCTCTTGTGCCCCCTCACAAGCAGCCTGCAGAGCGATCGACAGCAAAGCCAACACCTCTGAGGCGGAGGGCAGACGCAGGGGCCCAGCAAGCGGCATGCGTGATTCACAGCCTCCAGGGGGCCAGGGAGACAGGGCGTCCCCCAGCTGATTCCTCTCTGACCAGGAGCTGTGTCCAGGGAGGGATTTCCACGACATTAGAAATTACGGCCAGACAAGCTAGGGGTGCTCTGGGCCACTCTGGAGATGGAGAAAGGGCAGCATCCGTTGCTCATGATGAGCTTCAGGCCAGTGAGGGCTCTGAGGCCCACCGTGTCACGACAGTGCACAGACGGTCAGGGGATTAACCCTCAGAAGTGAGCTGGAAGCCACAGGAGCCCCGGGAGGGGGCCGTGCTCTCTGCGGGAGGGCAGCCCCGAAGGGCGGGAGGCCTGAGGGGTCCCCGCGGTTCAGCAGTTGCTCGCAGGTCAGAGCCAGACTAACGCCGACCAGCTTCTGTTTAGACTTGCTCTGGCACAAATCATTTTTAAAACCCAGGCTGCAAAGTTCCAGGCTTTGGGGCCTGTCAAGTTCACGGTGCCCCTGTGTAGTCATTAATACTTCCCTCCCAAATTTATTAGTCTTGAACCTCGCCCATAATTTATGAATTACAGCC